AAAGGTGTCCAAGGGTACATAGGTAATTCTAGAAGAGATTTGAGTCAAAATTATAATTCTGAAAGTAAAGGGACTAAAATATAATTTCAAAAAATTTATTGGGGTCACGACAGAAATTACATAAATTATAGGCCGAACGAGGTAATTCTGTCTAGGGATTAAAACTTAATTAATAGAATTTTTTTTAAATTATGAAACAGGATCCTTAGGAATCGGTTTCTAACCCCTTTCGTGCCTCTAACCCTTTTTTATGATCTAGGCTCATACGAAAAATGGGCCCAGAACCTGTAAAATCGGATCCCTAAGATTCGATTCTTGACCCTGTTCTGGGTCTCCTTTAGCTGCAGGGAGAGGAGACCCAACCTTATGATGCTGGCATCTATGGAGTAGTAGCTAGCTACCACGATGCCGACACCTCCCACGACGACTGTGCAATAGGCGAGACGCGGGCAAATGTGAAGTAGCAGCCACCCACGACGTCGCTGAACCAGAGGCAAGGAGGAACACTATTGTGTGGACTATGGAAGCCAAGGGGAAAGCTTTTTCGATAGTCCTGGAGGCTTTTCGATAGTATTTACGACGACAAAGCAAAAAAATGACGGACTGAACACTATTTCTGGCAACTTCACAGCGAATGCGAAGACACCATCTCGACCATGAAGAAGACTCAGGGGAAGGAGAAAATAATGAACATGATAATGAAGGCAATAATATATCAAATGTTATATTTGATCGTAATATTTCCTTAAACATAAGAATGTATTTAAATCTTATTCATACTCATTTTCAATAACAAGAATATCAAGAGAATTATTAACATATAAGCATGAATTTTTATCAATATACTTTTATACGCAAAAGAAAAGTTGAGATATATAGATCATTACTCGTAACCTGGCTCTGATGCTATATGTAAATCTAATATCTCAATTCATATATAATTGAATATGATAAAATAAAATAATTTTATGCGTACCTGAGGAATCCATTGATTACTTAAGATAGCTCGATTACCTTGAGTGTAGACAAATGCACAACTCACTAGACCCCAAACTCTTTAGATAATGCAAAGATAATGGAATAGAGGAAAAATGTATCGTGTGTTTATAGTTATCGACTGATCGACTTATAAGGATCAGATCAGTAACCGCTTTATTAAAAAATTAAATAATTATATTTCATTATCTCTGACTCAGTCGGTTAAGAGATATGGAATAACTGACGGCTATTGGGTTGTGAGTTAGGCCTCTGCCCATTGGGCTCACTTATGTGGTTCACCTATCACGGTCCATACAAGATCATAAACGTCAATCTGTTTGGGCTTATTAATTAATGTTAATCCATAAATAAATATTCCAATAGAGGTTTGATCTACAGCTTGTTGTTCATTGTTTTTTCAACAACCACACATGGAGTTAGATATCCAATTACAACAACAAATTGATTTGATTGGTTCTAGAAAAAAAGAATCAAATTAATGAGAAGTTAAAAGAAATAGCAACGTTTGGTTGTTTGGGATGGTTATCAATTTCCAAAATCCTTATAGCACAGAGGAAGAGGACGAGTGAGAAGAACGAGGGAGAGAGGGCATGGGGGCAAAGATTTCATTACATAACAAACTAAAATGCCAAACAAATCTTAAGAGATTATTAAATAATTATAACATTTCATGTTACCTATTTATTGTTCATGTATTTTAGAAGAATTTTATTTTCATTATGTACTTTTTCAATGACAAGCATCAATCAAAGTCAGGATCTAGCAATCAAGGATGGAATTAAAGTCATGATGAAAATATCATATTTGGATTTAGCGTGACTTTCTTTTGGTGAACAGATTTAGGATGATTATAAGTATAAAGAATAGTATACTTGTTAACAGTTATATGTTTTTGATTCTTTTTTCTGTCAAATCTAACAATTTTATTAACATCAAAATGGGAAACTTGTTAAGTCATTGTGACAATTGTAGTTAAATGAAGTTAAATAATACGCTTTACACTTTTTAAACGAGGTGTTAATTAAACTGAAATTATCCATGTGTAGATTTATAGTCACATTTACAACTGAACAATAACATTCAATTACAATATTATAATGGAGCTTAAAGTTGAAATATAAGTATAAATATAATTAACAAACGTTTTATATGAAGATGCTGTGTCAAATCAGGCGGCTCTCATACATTGCACAAAATATAAATAATAAACTATGCTGCTTGTAGCTTTGGGAACCAAGTGCTTTGCTAAAAATTAATTCCATTTTGGTATTAATTACTATTTGTTTTGAAGACTAATTTATACGACTCTTTCTTTATAATTAATGAAAAGATCCTCCCTAAGTCCCTGTGGCCATTTTTTTTAATGAAAAAAATATATATATTAAATAAAAAATAATTATAAAATTTAAAGATTTTGTGATACTTTCATCACTCATCACTTCTTGTGAAGAAGTGACAAGTGATTGAAGGTATAGAAATTATTCTTCAAACTATGAGACATCTAACTAACTTGTTATCCTTATGCCATTCCACTGACTAAAAATGATTTATCATGTAAATTAAAATAATATATATTAACACTATAAAATTAAGAGGGTTAATATTATCATATTATATTTTATCAAACAAATACAATTTAACAGCTAAGTGATAGTATTCTGTGTCACATACAAACATCAACAAATTAACTAAATATCATGCTATTTATTCAACAATTAATTAATAAGAAGAGGTAAGTCATTGAGGAATAAAAGCATTTAATCAAGATTTGGAATGTTAGTTAAAGATAGGTTAGCAAGTTTATGGGAAGAAAACAATGTTGCGCAGCCAAAAAGCGAAGTTAGCATTGAATAGTGAAATGGTGGCATTCAAAGGGCTCTGAATGGAGATGAATATTGTGACGTACTGATGGAAGATTAGCTGGAACAATTAATAAATCCCAATCACGAGCCATGCTTTTTTCAAAAAAATGGGGGAAGCGTCAGTTTGTGATTTGGAGTCACCGTCACGTGGTTGAGAGGAGGACGCGACGAGAGTAGCGGATCCTTTTCGTACTCGAACATATCTAGCTCGTTGACAACAAATTACAAATTCTTTTTTTTTAAAAAAATCAATCTTTAAAATTGTAATTACTTTTATAGATCAAAATCATTTTTCAATTTTGCGAGATTTATTATTATATTTTTAAGAACTATTATTAAATTTTAAAAACATTATCATTTTAGTTATTTTGATAATATTTTTTTGAAAAATATAATTTTGAGTCTTAATACTTTGCTCGAATTTTATTTTAAGTTCATGTATTTTTTTATATTTTAAGTTTCTATATTTTTATTTTTAGGTATTCTAAATCTCTCAGTGAGTAGTATTATAGGAACCTAAAACATTAAAAAATAAAAGTGTAAGAATTTAAAATATAAAAAAAATTTAGAGATTTGTAACAACAATTGAACAAAGTGTAAGGACCCAAAATTATATTTTTTTAATTTTTTAATTTTTTGAGAACTTAATTTTTAAAAATAATGATAACTTTTAAGATTTTGTGTGATAATAATTTTCAAGTTGTTTAATTATAAGATATTTTTGGGAGAGTTTCAACGTATTAAAATATATAACTTGACAAAACTAAAATTTCATTAATAATATTTTTTTTAACATTACCTTTCTCATATTTTTTTTAAATATTTTTTATAAATAAAATATTAAATAAAGGTTTTTTTTTAAATTTTTATATTTTTATTTTAAAAAAATAAAGTTATGAAATATATTTAATAAATTTTATTAATACGTATAGTTTTATTTAAAAATATTTTATAATTTAAATTATGCTAGCATCAAGCCTATTTATATGCTCCCCGCCCCCCTAGCTCCTAAAATCGCTTGATGCCAGTGATCTTCAATTAATTTAAAAAAAGAGGCTTCAGTGGATTAAAAATTATTTATTCTTGCCAAAGGTTGATTTAATTAGTAAGGATATGGCCAATAATTTATAAAATTATGAGTTTAAATTTTATTATTCATGGGAGAACTTTATTAATGAATAATTTATAAGTATATTTGTAAGTGCTCTTTAAATTTAGAGATATTTTTGATTTTAATAACATTTTGGATGCAACCCACCTAACTTTTTTTAAATTTTTTTTAAGAACCCTTTATTCTCAGAGGGACCATAATTACGTAATTATTAGTTTTTGTCATTTTACTAAAAAAGGATAAGAAACGAACCAAAACAAAAGAGGAAAAAGGGAGGGAGGGCTGAAGAGCGGTGAGGTTAAGGTAAAAACTCAAACGATATGATAAATGGAGTATGATTTAAAAGAATTAAGGGAAAGTAGTAATCAAGATCTTTATATAAAATCTAAGTTAGTTAAGAATAAGTTATTGTTAAAAATCAAATAAAAAACAAACCTGAATGAATTATTATTAATTTAAAAATAATTATTATTAAAATTTGAATGAATTTTTATTAATACAAAATCAATTCAAATTAATAAGTGTCTATTTTAATTTTAATAATAATAATTATTGTCTGATATAAATTTTATATAGAAATTCTTGAATATTGTTTTTCCAAGAATCAGTAGTCCCTCCTATGTCCTAACGTGATGGGTATTTAAATTATTGTTGAGAGATGTATCACATGTAGTAAACAATCGAATCTCAAACATGATAGGATAGAAGGACTTGTGAGAAGAAGGAAAAGAAAGAAAGAAAGAAAGAAACTCAAAGGACGTGATGATTGGAGCAGCCTTCCACCACAGTGCTCATATTCGCATATGATTAGTCTTTCTTGTGAGTAAGTGAAGTCAGTAATCACTCAATTAACCTCTCAACTCTTTGATTGAAATGTCTCAAAAAAAAAAAAAAAAGATGAAAAACTCTTTCTAGCGAATCAAATCATAGTAAGTAGTAATTGACCCACCCCGCTCTTATCTCCCACCACCCAGGCTCCTACCTCTATTATTTAAATATTTTCTTTGCACTCGTTGGTAGCGGTGGCAACTCTACTCTCCTCCTCCTCGTCTCCATCGTCTTTCCTATCTCCCTCGCGTCTAATTTCTATTCTTTCATCTGTTCTTCTTGGCATCAACCATTTGTAGTTGTAATCTTTACAATTCCGTGTTGAACCGCAATCGCTGAGTATTATTAGCATTGGTGGCGTTCGAGTTCGTGATTCCTGCTGGATCACTGCACTGAACAACTGCCAATTTTGAAGTTCTTCGAAAGTTAGAGGTTTGAGTTTTATCCAGAGCAATTCGTTAGCGTTTCGATGATTTTGTGTTCTTCGAATTGGATGCTGTATATACAATTCGGTTGTTGCAGATTTAATAGAGCTGGAAACGATGAACACCAAAACCAGCACTAGGCTGTACCCTATGAAAGCTTCGGTCTCAATTGGACAAGTAATAAAACTTGCCATTCTTTATTGTAGTCAAAACAGAGTACATTTATGTTGTATGCATTTTTGAAAAGCGGTTTGTACAGTGAACGAAATTAATGATTATTTAATTGTATACGCCGCCCCATAGTTATAACCAGAAAATATGGTTTCGACTTTTCTGAACTCGCTTTGCTGAGAGATCCCTGGAGCCAGGAATTCTCGTTAGTGTTATTTTTTAAAAAGACGATATATACCTATCTCGAATGGCAGATACATGCATTGACAAGACAAAAAAACCGATGCTGGTTTTTCACAGTACATGATTGATCTTCCAATATCAATCTTTCAAACTTCACTCTTTCCATTGCTTTTCCCTGTTTTTCAATCCGACACTAGACACTTACTTTCAGCTTCTAGGATTTCACCTTTGCCATTGTTATTTATTTGCAAATCATAGGTAGATTCTGACATCTTTGGCCTTGAATGAAAAGGCAGAAATGCAGGGAAGCTTGCGAAAGGGCACTGCTAATAAAGTCGAAGGTCGAAAAGCCTCCAGTAGATATAGAATATCGGCATTGCAACAAGATGTATTGACGTTCTTTCTTTTCAATCTCTATTGGTCTCATTTCCTGATTTCTTATCCAAAACTGAGCTGCAGACCATGAATTTCAGATTCATGAGCTGAAAAAGAAGCTTAGACATGAGGAGAACATCCACAGAGCATTGGAGAGGGCTTTTAACAGACCTTTGGGAGCTCTGCCTCGTCTTCCTCCGTATCTCCCCCCCTGCGTTAGTAAACATATCTCCCTTTGTATTGTTTCTTTCTTTCCAAAAAAAAAAAAAAAAAAACTCAATTTTGGAAATAAATAATTTCTATTTTTCGCTAAGAGAAAATAAAAGAAGCATGGCAGCAATAGTAGTTAAAGGTGATTTAAGAGCAGATTAAACAATCTAAGATAGATTGTCAAGGATTTTGAGGAGAAGGGTAATGTTAGTCCAGCCATCCGACTGCTGACTTTCAATCATTTGTAGATGCTAGCTCTTCTGGCTGAAGTAGCAGTTCTGGAAGAGGAAATTGTTAGGCTAGAAGAGCAGGTAGTACAATCCAGGCAGGACTTGTACCAGGAAGCTGTCTACTTGTCATCTTCAAAGAGAAGAATGGGGCATTCAGCTGATATAAACAATGCAAATTCAGTTGAAAGCGCAAGACAGGTCAAACTGAAGTCTTCTTCCCACACAATGAATAACGCAGCAACATCTAAAACTAGGCTTACAACATTACCAGGTGAGCATTTTTATGATTGGTGATTCAGCTTAATAATCTGTATTAGTTTAGAGCGCTCATTTCTTAAGAGTACTTTGTGCAAGAGTGGAATCTTATGGTTTGTGCCTGTTAATTATCATGCCAGAGGATCGGCACAGAAAGGAGAACGAATTCTGCACGAATTCTTTTAAGAGAAGCAAACATTTTTCATGTAACAACCACACAACTAGAATTCCAATCAAGAAACTTTCATCCGACAATAAGTCAGGGCAGAAGTGTTGGGACCCACATAAGAGACAGGTATGTAACTGATTATCATCTGTGTGATCAGAGTTGGTGTGAGGAAATTATTTTGTGCAATCAATTTGAGCTTTCATCATTTGCAGCAAGAATTAAGGGTGAAAAACAAACCAATTGCAGAAGTAGGGAATCCCAGTCGACATGAAAAACCACTGGGAGATGACAGCCCTAATATTATTTCTGAAAACATTTTGAAGTGCTTATCAACCGTCCTCATGAGAATGAGTTCAGCGAAGAATCCAAGACCTGCAGGTGACATATCATCGTTATTGGCTCAGAAAACTCACAACTGCATTGAAGGATGGGATCCTTATGGTACCTCTTGGGGATCTGGGAAGGAGGATATTGGTCCATATAATCAACTATGTGCAATTGAAGCCAGATCTTTCAATCCAAAACGAACCGCAAATTCTTTGATTTTACTGTCTAGATTAAAGTATGCAAGTTACTATCTAAACTGGAATATTAATTGCTTTTTCTTTTTTTTTTTTTCAATGGAACTTCTTATTTGTCTCATTTGGAAGGCATAAAGTTCTGATTTGGTAAAATGTGCAGAATTCTTTTGAGGAAACTTGCCTCTGCCAAGTTAGAAAACCTCAACCACCAGGAGAAACTTGCATTCTGGATCAACATCTATAACTCCTGTATGATGAACGTACGTCAATTGTCCATTGGTGTAACACTCAATATTATCCGAATCTAAAAGTTTCTTTTACTCTCACCACTTTTTTATTATTCTTCTGTTCATTTACAGTAGAAGTTTGTCACAATGCTATGCTTTTTTCCTCCTCTTCTCTTTAGCAATTATGAAGGAAGGTCTTTAAAATTCTAATTTTCTTCAGGCCTTCATTGAGAATGGCATTCCTGAGAGTCCTGAGATGTTTGTTTCACTGATGCAGAAGGTGTGGGCTACTTCTATTTCTTTCTGGTTAGAATGGCAATTCTTATATTCTACATTTAGGATTTTTAAAATAAAAAAAAAAAGCATAGGCGTACTTAAAATTTCTGTGATTCTTTCCCGTTATTTAGGCAACAATAAATGTGGGCGGACACTTGCTAAGTGCAAACACTATCGAACATTTCATCCTTAGACTTCCCTACAACTGGAAATTTGTAAGCCTTGCTCATTTCAAATTCTGCTTATCTATGAATAGGAATAGTCATTCACCAAGCTTCTTGCTGCTAAATTTGTGCAGACGTTTCTGAAGGGAGCTAAGAATCATGAAATGACAGCAAGAAGCATATTTGGACTGGAATTGTCAGAACCTCTAGTGACATTTGCACTCTCCCGTGGAACTTGGTCCTCTCCCGCTGTAAGTTTATGTGAAGTATACCTTTCTAAATTAATTCCATGTAACCTTTTATCACTAAGGCTTCTGCTATATATATTCATTTGTCTGTGGCTTTGTGTTGATTCATAAATTTTGTTGGATGAAGGTGAGAATTTATACGGCGTCACAGGTTGAGGACCAGCTGGAAGTTGCAAAAAGGGAGTATTTGCAGGCAGCAATTGGTATTTCATCGTTCAAGATTGCTATCCCAAAACTGCTGGATTGGTATTTACTGGATTTTGCAGAAGACTTGGAATCATTGCTGGATTGGATCTTCCTCCAGTTACCAAGTGAACTTGGGAAAGAAGCCATCAAGTTCATTGAAAAAAGAAGAAGCCAGCCCCTCTCACAATTTGTACAGATTATACCATATGACTTCACTTTTAGATATCTTCTATGCACATGATTTTGCTAGTTTTCTGAATAGTCTTATTTGTATACTCCTGTAGATCTTACATACAAAGAACATACATAATAATTTGTCGTCCCTTCAGCGAGCTCAATTCTTTATACAGCCTCTCATGTTGAGTCAAAACTACCATGTGAACGCACTAGTGCTCAACAAATATTATTTGATGACTTGGTCACATCATCTTCTTCCTGCCAGTTATCATACTCGGAACCTCTAGGTCAACATCAAGTTCTTAAGGAAATCCATGAGGACGAGATTTACCCTTCTGGTGACTTGAACTGGACAACAGAAATTCTGAATACTTTCTGCTGTACGGATAATAAATATATCTCCAACCACAAAGAAGAGCAAACCAAGGTGGCTATGAAGGTCTGGTATGAAACAAATAACAACAAACTGTATTTAGAGGGTGACACAAAAATATGATTATATTGAAATCTGCATTATATCATTTTATCTCAACCTATTTTCAAATAATATTGAATGTAAGAATCCGCATTAAAGCAAATATGGACATGTCATCAGGCTATCAGCGTGATCAATGGTGCATTTATAGCACATATTGAAAGATGAGAGAAAAAGGATATTATGGTGGTGGAGTTCCATAAATATGGCAACAATGAAAGCACGAGTGATGAGAAATTCTCTAGTCATTAGCACAGAGAGAGGCCTGACTTGTGGTCCAATGTCCCTCTGATTAATGGCAGCCTGTTTCTCGTGTCTCACAAGAAGTCCCCTCTTATTTCTAATCAATAGTTCGGCCATTGCAACTCCATTATATTGTTCACCAACCCTTCCCGCTGGCCCTTCCCTATTCGTATATGGTCCCAAGCTCTCTTTGCTGGAAACAAGCTCAGTTCTATGCTCTATTTTCTCCTTTGTATTCTTTGTAATTAAATCATGGTAACGAAAACATTATGAACCACAGCCTCTCTCTTTGCTGTAAATTCATAGTACTGTTTTTATCCTTGCGGTTAATTGGCCCCAACTTAATTCGTCCCCCCTTGCATAGTATATGTATGTGTACTCATTCTGGCTCTCAATTGCCAGCTAAACTCAACAGCTTTTTTCCCAGATCGTCATTTTTTCAAATTAATTAATAACCTGGCATGTGGTACTAATTCTTTTTCAAGCATAAAGATGAAGCATTAAATTTCCAAACCATCTGTATAACCTCTTGTGGCTATGAGACTGCACTTCATTTCTGATAAATATATGTAACTTCAAGATGAACTAAATAAGATTCCAAAACTAGAATTTGGAGGAAGAGAAGTCATAAAGCCTGTGCACAATGGAATTAGTAAAGCAAACAAATCAAATCTTGGCAGACTAAAAATGGAATTCAAAAGTGAACTGTATATTTCGACACAAATATTTTAAGCTTTTATTCTTCATTTTTAGATGGATATTTTGCTCTGAGCAGCCATGTTTATGCATTTAATTGGGTTGGGTGGCTCTAGTTTTGTCTCTTTGGTAGCATGGGACAAAACTTTAATTGTATTCAATGTGGTGCAGAGTGCAGATGGACTTGTTTGAAGTTAAAACTAAAAACAAACAAAAGTGGAAGCCCCTGAACTTCTTTCGCGGCTCCTGTACCACAAGTATTTTTTTAGACAAGAGACATTCTTTAGAGACGGCCTTATTGTCCTTTTTATTTCCCTCATATTTTTATTTAATTTGTTTTCTTCAAACTCTCCGGCCAAAGGTTTAGCTAATCGATCAAAAAAATTGGGCCAAACAGACATTTAAAAAAAAATCAATTCGAGTTCATATAAAAAATAATAAAATAAAATTATGAAATGAAATGATAAAATTGGAGGGTGAAATCACGTATGCTAAAATCTGAAGAACTAAAAGTAAATATATATACTTAAATTAGTTAATAAATGCATCTGAGGGGAGAATGGGCCAAAATTGGTAAAAAGGCGTCTGTCCTTGCCCTTGTAGATGGACATGTTAAAAGCCCAAATAGTTTCAATGGATCCAAACTAATTGATATTCCATGGCTTAAATGTTGACTGACATAAGCAAAACCAGTCTCGTCAAAATTTTGGCCTTGTTGTGGAGGGAATGATCTATTTGACAAATAATTTACCCTGAGGTAGTCATACTTGTCATGAAAAATCATGCGTACTCATAGATGCATGTATTTATGGTTAGTAGGGATATGACTTAGATGCTATCTAAATTCGCGGTTCGAACCCTTTGATGATATATAAGCATTTAAATCATAATATTCATCTGTGAATAGTTTTACAAGCCATGGGACCTGAGATTATTTTTAAGTTTCTATGATGAGATACACTGTATATAGTGCAGTTATTTTATATTACATTGAATAAACGTCCATTTTCATGTTGGTATTGATTAATGTGATTTAATGGGAACAACAAAGGCCCACGTTGTATATTTTAATTTATGTGGTAATTTTTAGTAATAATTCTTGTGCTACGAAGACCAGACCGTGTCATGGGTTTGGATTATTTGCCTGGCCGTTCTCTCCCAGTGCCAATCTGAACAAATTATTATATTATCATTCAACTTCGAGAAAAAAATATTTATTTTCCTCATTCATTGTAAGCAACGACTCTATCCAATTCTAGAACTCTTTTTCTTTATCATCCTTCCTTTCTTTCGGTCAGCGATAGGCGATAGCGTAGCCCTTCATTCGAATTGAAGGGGTCATCTACCAAATGTTAATTTTATCATTTTTTTTAATCAAGGAAGAGATTAAAACTATTTAATGCAAATGGTGAAAACAGCTTATATTTTTACTTATTTAGATCCACTCGCATATTATTGTTTTGCTAAAAAGTAATAATTTTGGAGTTTTTTTTCCTTTACCTACTGAAAGTTAGATAACAAGACTATCTTATTTAATTTCATAAATTTAATATTCACATGCCTGTTTGATTCCAATTTAAAATTATAAGAAAAATAGTGCTTAATAATTAGAGAAATACATATGATACTCCTATATGTTTCATTATTTTGTGAACCGAATTGGACTGGATAAATCAGATCAAACATCTAGTTAGGTTAGCGCTGAGCCCAATTTAAGATTCATGAAACCCCAATTGAGCAGATGAACATTACGAGGACTGGATAAATCAGATCAAACATCTAGTTACGTGATTACTGATTACGAGGACGACCACACACACACACACACACACACACACACAAGGGAAAGGACAAATTCAGATTTGAGATTTCAGAGTTCAGGCAATTCTTCTCTTCTCTGGCCTCGCCTTCTTCGTGTTGTGTTGTCGTCTCTTCAAGGAGAACACGACATGTATCCCAAATAAAAATACTACCAGTTTTATCCAAATTAAATCCTTTGACTTTTGGGATATAATATACAGTAATATTCATAGACTGGTAATGGATTATTTGCGTCTTTTTTTAAAAAAAAAAAAAAAGAATCGTGCATAAGCGTTGAAGGTATTGATGGCCTTCTAGATTAACGAATGTGGTTATGCTAACCCTATAAATCTGAACGAATTTTAAATTGTACATCGTGGAGATCAAGGCACTGTCATCCTTACGCTTTCGCATAACAAACACACACACACACTGTCACATCAATATCATCTAGAAGCAGTAGGACCCTCCTCAACAATCAACCACGTTGGTTTTACTTCCCACCACCACCACCACTGATTTTATATTTAAATTATAAACAAAATCTAACATTGACCCTGAAAAAAATATTTACAAAGATTAGAATTTAAAACACACCTACGAATATGCGTGCAAGAATCAAAAATTTTTCTGCCAATGTTCCTGTAAATTTTAACGTCCTTGATATCAAATATTATCCTAAACATGACGGTACAAGACTGTACCTGTATGATAATGTCTTAAATAATTTTCTTCAAATAAAAAAAATTTCACCAAAGACCCCGGGACTAGAGACGATGGGAAAGAGAGCTTTTAAATTTCTGAAACTTTATTATAAATTTAAGATACCAAATTAAAATTAAAATTCTTTGAAAAGATGACAAAATTGTCATTGTTTCTATTGAAAGAGAAAAGAAATTAAAAAAAAATGAATTATAAACATGTAGGGCTATAAATAAATAAAGTGATGCAATAAACAATAGTCTGAAGGTTAATAAATAATATACATAAGAATATAAACAAATCATACTAACGTGAAAGCAACACTTTGAATTAATTTAAGTTAAAGTATTATAATGAACAAATGAAGCAGAGAAATAAATAATAATTTAAAGGGTAATAAATCATATATAATAGGAATATGAATAAATTGTGTTAATGTGAAAGCAACACTTGGAATTAATCAAATTGAAAGTGTTACAATGAACAAGTAAAATATAATAATGAACAGTAATTTGAAAGATAATGAACCATATATAATAGGAATACAAACATGTCAATCGTATTAATATGAAAGTAATACTTAAAATTAATTTACATAAAAATGTTGTGATAAACAAGTGAACTAGAGTAATAAATAACAATTTGAAGGTAATAAATAATATATAGTAAAGATACATATAAGTTGTGCTAGAGAATTTTAATAGAGACAATTTTATTATTTTTTATATAATTTTAATTTAACTTCAGCACCCAAGATTCTTAGTAAAATTTTAAAATTTAAGAGATTTTTTTAAAAAATTATCTATTGTCTTGGGATTTAGAGTAAAATTTTCTCCTTAAAATATCATTATTATTGTTAAACCTGAATCTCTGTCTCTACTTTTACCAAAATTTCAAAGTTGGTTAGCTACAAGCTCCGCAACAAAACACAACAACCACAGAGTAACAAAAAAAAAAAAAAAATTCAAAGCGATGCACGTGAGAAATAGTTTGCTAAACGGAGAATTATCAATGCACGCACGAGTGAGAGACAGTGAAGCCAGAAAGGGAAATACAGCAAAACGAGGGTATGAAAAGGCGGCTTCCTATTTCCCAAATCAATTGAATGGTCAACAAAACAAACTGTTAGTTCTTTCTTGCTTCTTTCCCACACTTGTCCTTATTTCTCTCTCCCCCCGTTTGCCTATAAATACTCGCAACTACCACGCCAAACATCTTCGACCAAATTAAACTAACAAGAGATTCAATTGCAAAGTTATGGAGGTGTTAGTGTCCAGTCCTGCTAGGGATTTCGATTTCGATTTCAATGGAGGCAGAACTACTTCGCCTTACTTGAGCCTCCCTTCTTCACCCAAGCGTTTTGGCGAATGCTATCTAAGTGCTCCCGCCAGTCCATCTAGACTCTCCGAGCTTGTTTCTGAATTTGAGTATTTTCCCACCACAGCCAAACACGACGACGACGATCATGGCGATTATAGTTTCGCGTTTGATGTTAGCCGGGAATCGGAGAAATCGTCGGTCGCCGCTGAAGATCTGTTTGATGGCGGCAAAATCAAGGCTCTAAAGTCTCCATCCCGACTGGTGGCCAACGAATTCGCATCCATTAGAAGCCCGCTTGTATCTCCGAGGAAATCAAGATCGCCGATGGAGGTGATTAACGACGCTTTCTCACCTAAAAAGAAGGAAATGCAGGAGAGAAGAGGAAGAGACAGAACTCCGGCATCGATGTCTTCTTCGAATTCGGGTCGCAGAGCCTCGCGATCTCTATCTCCTTACAGAAATTCTGACTATGCATGGGAAGAAGAACGATACGTGCCACAACAACAACGAATCTCAAAAGAGGAGTCGTCGTCGAATTCCAGAGCTTTACTCACATCCGCATCTGGCAATTCCAAGAGCTCGAGAAAATGGAGATTGAGGGACTTGTTGTTGTTCCGTAGCGCATCGGAAGGGCGAGGGTCGAACAAGGATTCATTACGGAAATACTCTGTTGCGTACAGAAGACCTGAAGAAGTTAAGATTTCTAGCTTTAGATCTGTAGACAGCCCCACGGCAGCACATGGGTCGAAAAGAGGGGGAGCGAAATCGGCGCATGAATTGCACTATGCTATGAAGAAGGCTGAGACGCAGGATTTGAAGAAGAAAACTTTCTTGCCTTACAAACACGGGATTTTGGGCGCCCTCGCTGGATTTGGATCTTTGACGAGATAATGATGACGACCTCCACGACAGTTTTCTCCAATTTCTTTCTTTCTTTTTGGGTCAACGAAACAAGTTGTATTCTTTTATTTGAAAGAAGCGATGTGTTCTCCTTCAATGTTTCGCGCTAGATTTCTTAGCATTGTTCGATCATCTTTTGTCATTTCAAGTGTAATTATACCCTAATGGTGAAATTATCCAAATATAGACTCTTGCTTACCTTTGTGTTTAATAAGTTGAGTTTGCTTTCAGAATCCTAAACTTTTACTTTTACGCAAAAAAAATGCTTTTTTTTTTTTTGAAATTAAGTTAAATTATCCTTAATGTTAGACTTCGAGCCTCACATTGCACATTCTTTTGGGAGTTCATAGCGGCCCGCTTTGAGTAATTTTCCCCACTTATCAAGGTGGACATTGTCAAGAAGACAATTCACTAAAAAAGATTAATCCATTCAATTAATTGCATAAGTGGTTGAAGATCGATATATTAAAATAAATGTTGATTTAGTTGCATTTTAACTCATAAAATTATAGGTTCAAATGATATAAGAATATTGTTAACTAGCTATGTGTAAATACTAAATACCTCTTTTGTTTATTAAGAAGAAAGTGTTAGGACAGGTGCAATTTATATATTTTTTTTTTCAAGTGCCAATCTTATCTAACTCAAATTAAATTTGATAGATAATGTTGAATACGTTATATTTATACTAAACCCATTGTACCACACTGTGTTTATTTTTTAAAAAAAATTAAAACTAACAATTTTTTTAAATTCCCATTGAATATACCAAAAGAATGGGCCTTAAATTTAGTCAACATCAGAACTCTGATATGTGATATCTTAAAAAAGTGAATACTTGTTTAGATTTGTGCAGTGATGTTCTTTTTAATTTCGGGAAAGAAATTAAAATATTAATTTAAAACGGGTTGATTATTTTTCGCTACTTCAACCTTGTCGGTGTCCAGCAAGATTAAAGATAGTTTCATTTCATTGTACCTTTTTTTTTCTCCCAATTACTCTCTCAACCGTAGTTCTAAATTACTCCGATCAAAATTTAAAAATCTAAATTAATTTATTTTTGTTCTAAAAATACCTTTATAAATATTAAGGTTGAATAATTCAAACTTAACTTTCACACTTCAAATATGCAATATCCCTCCACCACAATAAACAGAAGCTAGCTAAGAACTATCAATGTTTAATTTAATTGGCAAGAATGTTATATCAATTTAATTAGAAATTTCAAGTTTGAATTTAAAAAATATAGTTACAATGATGGTAGAGTTTCTCTATAAAAAAAAATCATGTCCCTACTTGATTCAAATTAATCAAAAATTTTATTAAGTCCTCTCTTCTCAATGAGACAGGTCAATACCATATGCTTAAGGTAAAAAATAGAAGCCAGCTGGATACATTAACAGAAGGTATAGCTAGGAAGTAGGAAGGTCTGCCACGCCACATGACAGACGCGCCTTTGTTTGCAAACCGTTGAAAACCAGAATCAGAGTTTTCTTCATGCCTAAAAATTAAAATAGAACATGATTTTTGTTATTAAAAAATTAGAACATGTTTTTTCCAAAAAAAAAAAACAGCGAAGTACTGCTACTTGGATAAGAAAAGACAAACTAATAATAAGATAGATTATCGCACTACAGGGGCATTATTGGCATTGCAAGTAAAAGGTGGTGGATGCTAGAAGAAAATGGCTGACAAAGTCAACATCTAGAAGCAGAGGGCTGCAGCCTGCAAGGATATATACGATCTCAAGTCTCAACAGGTCCCTCATCCATGATGACACTCTCAACAATTTTTTTCTCTTCTAAATATTTGGCCACGAATATCATAAATGCGAATTAATTCATCTACAGGGGTTATCCCCGCAGACGTCTTTGAAGCTTACGGCATATCTCGTGCATTAGATTAATTTCATCTTTATGATTGACAAAAATTGGACACCAAAGCATTAAAAAAATTGTAGAAAGGGGAAAATATATTTCATGCTTGTTACTCATTCGCCAATTGCATGATTTGTATAATTTGTATAATTGTACACCAATTTCTTCAACCATTTACCATGCAGATATAATGAAATACTGATTACAAATGCCATATTTCCAATCAATATATGGGTTAAGAAAAAAGTATATGTAATTGTAGGAACAAGGATCAAGTGAAAGCGATTACAACATTATATAAAATACCATGCAAGATTTGAGACAATGCAACAGAATATTCTCATCCTCATAGCAACAAACAATGATGTATACAGTAGACGTTCTGCAGAGTATTATGATGTCTCTTATTCAATTTTCTGACCTGAAATTCATCAAGTACTCAATAAATTCCACTACATGACTTGTTTCTGCGAACATGTCATCACGAAAGCCAGCATGCATCATCACCTTTCCAAAACCTATTCTCAGTCGAAGTTATCAATTTTAATGGGTGTAATATCATCGGCGACTTTGAAATGTCCAATCAATCGTGCAAAGAACACCATTTGTTGTTCAAGCGTAAACTCAATGTTTTCAGCCTGCATTCATCCCATTGTCATATATATAGCTATTGTTTCCAACATAAATAGACAATCAAGTAAATCAGCATTTACCTTTCGGAAACCATGTTGCTCTCCTTCATACTCAACAATGGCTACAGGCACACCCTTTTCCTTCACTGCCTGGTAAATTTTTCGAGCTTGATCAGGAGGCACAACCTGCAACAAGCAGAACATATTTTTCAATACATGTTTATAGGGGATTCGGCATAGTTTCACATTAGCTGTCGAGGAGCTAACAAAACCTTCCTCTTTTATTTGAAATTGGGACCAACTATGAAACATGGATGGAGATAGAATATATTTTTTTCAATGTCATTGAATCTTTATAGCAAATTTATGAATATGCCAACCTTAATCTTTGGACATTGATAATTATTGCATCCTTGCTCACCTTATCCTCCAAACCTTGAAACAAAATTATGGGACAAGAAAATTTATCGACATGGTTGATTGGGGATCTTTCAAAGCATTCCTTATCACCTCCTGCAACCAGTCAAGGGATTGCCTCAACACAAAATATGCCCCAGAAAAAAGTTGACCGTTACCTTAAGATGATATTGTTAACTTACCAACAAGATTATCAATGTAATGGGATTCAAATTTATGAGTCTCTGCTCTCAACAAGTTCAGATCAGCTATCTGTTTCAGAGACCAGTTGGCATTAATCCCATATCACAATAAGACTAATACTTCGTTAAATTATAACCAATTTATATACATAAATATACAGCAACAGCGTTTCCCCAGTTTCAATGAAGTCTACTCTTACCATAAAAGCAAACATACAAATATATCTGTCTGAACTCAAATGTCTTGTTAGAAGAACAAAATGAGAGAAATGAAATTTATCACTGAGCAAGCTTCGCTTTCTTAAACATGTAAAGAATCATGGAAAAGGGAAATAAATAAATACATTCAGTTAATAGTACACGAGATTTACATGATAAATATACTACTGCTAATTTACAAGCTAACTATGCTATTTTTGCATTCTCAATCATGAGTTGGCTACCCATTACATCAAAATCATTCGTCAGAGAGCTTACTATGAAATCATTAACTAAAATAAATAAGCTTATTTACAGAACTTACACCATACAAAGAAGACCCAGCCTTAAATGTTTCTTTAAAAGCAAGAGTAGCTAAGGTGGTATACCCACCAGCAGAGCCCCCAGTAATACACAGTCGTTCTCCATCAACCTTTCCACTGTCCACCTAGACAACAAATCATAGATGTGAGAACTCTTCTGGAAAATTCATCAACCAGAACCTAGGCAAGAGCTAAATGCACAAAATGATTACCAAATACTTGGCGCAGCTACAACAGTCATCAACATCCACGATGCCCCATTGTCCTAAAAGTCTTTCTCGATACTCTCTCCCATAACCTTCCGAATGATGTTTTTATCACAGAAAACTCAAATTCCATAAAACATTCAACCAGTCACGTGTAATACAAACTCAACCAAGAAAAAAGCCAAAAATAAAAAAGGCTTATAAAACACATCCGGCTTTGAACATGGAGAAAATCCAAAAGATAATGCATTTAAGAATTAAGAATATAATTTTATAGCCAAGGACGGAATCAAACCAGTGCTTCCACCATAATTAACATCTGCATATGCCCAACCTCGACTGGTCAAGTACTGAATGCTAAGATTTAAAACTCCACGTGTTTCAGATGTTGGTCCTCCTGAAATATTTGATAAAACATTGTGAATTACGGCTGACGTGCTCAGTCAAATTATTATATAAAACATTACTCGGCAGGTTCTCTAACAGTAGTGAAGTGCAATAAGCATGATAATCAGGTACCCTAATATCTTTCACTTGAATTTGATTCACTTAAAAAGCTTCACTAGCTTTAAAGATCATGGTCAAATTCTAATCATGTTTCTATATTCACGCGCGCGCTTGCGGGGGATACCTTCTGTCTACTAATTTATTACAGAGTTCATATTGATTGAACGCCTAAAATTAAAATAAAACTTGGCAATATAATAATCATAAATTGGCATTGGCACTAGCTTCAATATTGGTACATCGCACTGAGAAGATTTATGGTGCAACTGTAAAGACAAGCTAAAAACACATTATCTGCATAAGGGCTGCAAAATTATTGCACTGACTAAGGGTAAAAATAAAAGAGCATGCCCAATAAACCAAAGTTATCATGTGATTAACAATATCAACAAAAATAAAATAAAATAAAATAAAGACATATTACTACTTCCCTTTATAATACACTCGTGAACTTCATAATACACATAATTTGTGATAGTTTTATGACAAAATCAGTGAGGACATTATATCTATTCTTAGTGATCACGTGATGTGAAACTACAAATGATGTCTGGCTCTTGAGGAAACATCCCCTTCTAGCCTGTATGACAACGATAAATTAGAGAATGAACCGAATGAGATTAATCTTGATATGGGACTAAGAAAAAATACCATGGCTATTCAACAACAAAGGAGGCTTTTCCTCTTGACTGGCTTGATAAGTAGGATTAGATGGCGGATAAAAGTAAGCATAGGCATTTTCGCCAGGAACTTCAGTGGGGAATTCAATTAGCTCTGGCTCACTGAAGTATGGACTGTACTTCAAAATATCCGATGAGGAGGACCAAATAATATCAAACTCAACAACTTTTGACTTCTGATCATCCAAAGTCACCTAAAAAGCAAGAGGTATAAGGGGTAATGAAATAACAGAGACATTAAAGAGGGCATCAGGGCAGCACGCCAGTACCTTGGCCACTGCTAATGGATGAATCGCAGAAGCTCCTTCTACATATAGGCTATTTTTCCCAGAAGTCTGCACTGGCATGATTACATGTTTCATATTATTATTTGGTTACCACCTAGACCAAAAAGAAGCAAAAAACAAAAAAACAAAAAAGAAAAGAAACAATTTTAAAACTTACAATGTCATCTAGATCTGTGAAAGGGATATCAAGCACAGTGATTGTTGAGCTTCCCACATAATCAATAATTCCAAGATATGACCTCCCTTTTTGCCTATATACACAACCAAAAACGTCAAATGAATATATATATATATATATTTTTGGTGAACAAATGAACTACAATTGATGACATTTAAAAACCAACTACATAAAAGAAAAGATGAAAAGACAATAGCAAGCAAGTGACAATCTAGAAATCACCTGTAACTGCAAGCAATCAAGCTTTTCTTTTTATCACTCTGAATAAATTCATAAGAATTCATACCAAAAACCCATAATGGCCTTGTAAACTCAGCATCCAAAGAATAAACAGGCATGACCTTATTCTCAGACTCAATCTGTGGCCAATAAAAAAAAAACCAAAATCAGAAAGAATCAGTAAATTCATTAACGCTTGTTGTATGTCCAGCCAAAGAATAAGTTCATTCACAAACCAGCTACGATTGTTAAAAGGTAGAAAACATACTAATTAGAAACTATTCTTGGTCAAAACGTCAGGAAGCACATGAGATTGGCTTTCAAAATTTTAGACTAAAAACATGATACTTTTTGATGTTCTGTTCTATTTCTTGTAAGTAGTAAGGTCACAATTTTAATCTACCATTGTTAATCTAAAAAAACAAAAAGAAAAGAAAAATAGTACAACCATGACCTTCTTAATGAAATAAAATTAATCTTGAAGTAATCAATGGGTATTTATCAATGCTGAAAAGAAAAAGGTAATGGAAGCCAATATTTAATGACTTGTAGTAGTAGAAGGAAAAAGAAATTTAGTAACTTACCCATTTATGAAGATTCCAAAAGCCATTTTCCCTATCAGTAATAAAAAAGAGCTCCCCTGCACAATTAAAATTTTAAAAAATTATCCGACTTAAAAAATAGAAGGCTAAGGTCAAAGCAAATTTTCTAGTTGGGTCAACAAAATGTTACTAACATAGCATACATAAATTCACACCATTCATTAAAGGCAACTCATATCTCTAAAAACAATGATATGCAGTTGTGCACCGAAAGTGTGAGTGACCAAAATAATTACATGCTTAATTACTTATATTAATAAGGCAAGTTTTCATACCATCAGGGGACCACTTGGGTTCAGTTATAGACTCCACTAATGAAGGATCACCACCAGCAATGCAGGTGCTCTTGTGGATCTCTCTGCATGGAATTTTAAGATGATTAAGCATCTTATCAAAGCACGACTCACATAGAATAGGAAACTGTCTCCAACCAAGATACGGAATTTGAAAACTTTAATCCTAAAACAAAAGAAGACAAAAAGAATTGGACAATGAGAAAATAAGAATCTTTCAGAGAAACCTCATTTGATTCCAGAGCCTGCTAAACACATAACTAGGTGAAGTGGAGTCAGTTTTGGAATCTTTTTGCTTCCTCAAGTTTCAACATGCTAGTTCTTATGTGGTAAGATTTTAAGTCAACTGGAAGAGATCATATCCTACACAAGATTGGTTTTAATGTAATCAGTTTTGGTTTCATTTAGAAGTTTCCTTATTTCTCTCCCTTCAATCTTTCTAGTTTCTGCTGCATTTTGAAACTTCATAAACGATTTACCAATATATGACAACCTATAAACTAGGAGCACTTGCATAAGAAAAGACACAACATGACAACACTACACAGATTGATTTTAACGTAATCAGTTTTTAAATTAAACCTTAAACAAGACACTTTGAACATAAATAGATTTGCAAAACTTTAACTTAACAGTTCCAAACCATTTTTACATAAATCTCCCTTAAGACAGCATGGTTGTTGAGGTATGAAGAGTGGAAATAAATCAAGTAATCACTTTTCTCTTTCCCAAGATTATCCAAGAGCAAGAAGGTAGCACTGAATGATGTAAATTAATCAACAAAATTTCAGGCTTATGTGTTTTGTCATCGGGATCACAAAACAATCAAATACCGGTAAAAATGTCAGCAATTCCTATTAAGACATGCCATATCATAACCAAGCACATTATGAAATGGAAGTACACAGTGAAGGTATGTTTCATCGTCAGTTCAATAAGAGAACCAACTTGGTAAACAAACTGAATTCTTCCAACTGATATATAGATTCATGCCCACCCATTTTCAGATGCATAACCAACCCAGAGTTCTGATCTATCCCATGGCATGCTAGGGTGATTCCACTGAATCCATGCCATTCGATTTGTTTTTGGATCAAGACGTGGGAAAGCATAGAAGTCACTTCCGCTAACTAATACTTCTGGTTCTGAATGTCACAACAAAGTCAGGCACAAGCAACAAAAACATGATCAGATAATGAATGGAAACATCAAAAAGCAATTGGAAAACCTATGGACATCATAATGGAGTACTTATTTGCAGTATTCAATCAACCCTACACAGTTTGTAGTTCAGACTCATAATGAAGATGGAATTTACTACCTTGAACATCCTTGCTGCTGAGAGCTATTGATACAATTGTTGTGGTTGCATTTATGCTGCTGTCCCGACGATCTACCCAGAATATTTATCACCAATAAGTGATTTAGTAGGCGCGGTACATGCTGTGGGAACACTCTAAAATAAGCAGTAGAGACGAAGTTTTTTTTTTCTTTTCATTTAAATGTATTCTCAGCTTACCTTCTCGTACACAGACAAAACGGTTAAAGCGTGCATCCAATACTCCATCGGCATAGCTGACTACAGGTCCCCCATAATCAGGAGTGAGAGGGATGGGAGGGACATCTGCCAGAGACGAACCGCATGACTTTAGTTAATTTAGATTCCAGGGAATTTTAGGAGATCAAGTCCAGTAAAAAAAAAATGCCAACTCTATTCTCTCCCTAAGATGTTCTCCCAAATTACCGGTTCGCATACTCTTGTCAGAACATCAAATCACCGATGGCATGATGGTGCAGACACCATGAGGAACCCGTGCATGCTAGTATATTATGTTTTCCGTAAACCATTCAGTATGAAACTTTTTAACCAATTTAAAAAATCTCTCTAATTAATAACTTTTTGAAGCTCATTTTAACATTTTACTAAAAACAATTAATTTTAACTAATTTTTTAATTTACATAAAAATGGTTAGTATGCTCTTATAAAAAACACAACAAAAAAGTTGATAGAGTAGATTAGATAGAAAGCGGAATGCGTGATTGAAACAAACATAGGACTTAGGAGTCACATGATACTGATAAGACTGCCCGACGGGTCAAAACTACTCAAAAAGTCAAAAGCAGAGGCACGTGCCATCCTAATAAAATCTGTGTTGTCAAAAGAAAAAGAAACGAAGCAACTTGACATGAGAATGGGGAATGATGATACTGACCTAGAGAAGTTATGGATTGCCTGTACAGCCTCTGATTCGTGTAATTTGCGAAAATAACAATATCACCCGAAACGGTGAAGTCCCCACCACCATACTCCTGAGCCACTGTTCGTACTCCGAACTCTTGAGGCGTGATATCCAAGGGCTCATCTCCTGGCTTTTCTGGCTCTCGCACAAGCACTCCCCTTCTGAAACACAATCATCGAATCCATTTATTTTGATAATTCCACATTGCAAAAGATGGTGAACTTACATGAACAAATGATACAGAAACAGAACAACAAATGGCAATCATACCCGGACTCAGTGGGGCGCGACTCCAGCCAAATGAGGCTGCCGTGACCGTCGATGGCGATGCCGCCGAGCTCCTTGGAGGCACCGGAGACAACATCGGCTGTGAGAGGAGACTTCCAAGAACCATAGGGAGCAGTGATTGGTTCTTGTTGAGCTGCTAGTGCAGAAGCTTTCTTCTTGTGTGGGGACGTTGGTATGGTAGCCATTGCCTTGCAGCTTTGATGCTAAGGCGGCAAGCTTTGTCCTAAAATAGTGGCATCAATTTGTGGCGATTAAGGAATGCAGTTATCGACCCGGATATGGACAGACGATCCGTTGACCTTGCTGAAGAAGAAAAAGAAAAAGAAAATTCAGGGATGCAAAATGACTTGATTTGAGGCCCAGTAGCAGTAGGAAATCGTCCTGATCCGTTCCCTCTTTCTTTTTTTCTTTGTTTTTTTTTTGTCTTTTTATTTTTATTAACAGCAAAGTGTCAGGTGTTATATCGAAGGGATTTGGAGAGTGTCGAATATGCTACACACTTTAATGAACTAGTTTTTTGAGGAGATTCGAGTTTGCTCAATCTGTAAGCCATTTGTGACGGGAGCATCACTGATTGACTGAAAGAGTTGTCAAGTCTCGTATCGAAAAAACTTAAGAAAGGTCCTAACTATATAATGAGTACGTTATACACCCTAATGAGCTAGCTTTTTGAGGAGAGAGTAATGCCCTGTGACAAAGGGGAGGTGTGCTTGGATTTAACTTGATGAAATTGATTATAAAAAAAATAATTAATTATGTTATAACATCATCATATTTAAATATTATTTTTAAAAAAATTAATTTTAATAAAATTAAAAATATTTAAATAATATAATTAAAATTAATTTTAAATATTCAAATTAAATATTATTTTTTAAAAATTTAAATATTGATGAAGTTTTATATAACATTATTAAATATTAAATATTTTTAAACTCTATTCAATAAATAAAATAAGTTTTAGTATATCATACTCCCTCCGTTCAAAAATGTAATGTATTTTTTAAAGAGTTCGATGTTTAAAAATGTAAGGTATTTTTAATCTTTTGAGGTGTAATCATTGTCTTTTTTTCAAAAGCACACCTATTGATAATGACTTTGTATTTATTATAAGGTGTTTAATAGGGATAAATATAAAAAGATAGAATTAGCTGAAAAGTAGATAACTATTTTATTGGGGGATGAGATTCAATTAAAAATGCCTTACATTTTTAATAAAAGAATACATAATAATAATAATAATAATAATAATAATAATGTGAAAATAAAAAGTAGTCAATATTGAGATTTCCAAAAGGTAGCTAAAACGGAATCGAAGGAATTGTGAAGGCACTCTCTTGGTCTCGAGTTTTTCTCTTCATCGGACAAAAAGCACGGCTAACGATAATGACAAAATTCGTTATACAAAAAAATTAGAGTCGACAGATGATAGGCTCACTCATACGAGCAGATCAAAGTAGATTGTGGGGCGATAAAAACAAGAGGACAATAGAGAGGTAGGTTAGAGAACAACAAAGAGATGAGAGAAGATTCGAAACTCACAAGAGATCAAAGAGCCAGGACCCTTCCCAAGTCCTTTCAATATGGGATGTGACAGCTCCCCGGCCAATCCGTGTCTCTCCCTCAGGGGTGACCCATCAGAGGGCCTATCGATTAAGCAAACTTGGGTTTAACTCTGATATCACTTTGTCATTAGGTTATTACTCTTTTCTCAAAAAGTTAGCTCATTGGGGTGTATAGCGCACTAACTTATATAGCTAGGGCCCTTCCTAAGTCTCTTTGATATGAGACCTAATAGCTCCTTGAGCCAATCCGTGACGCATCCGTTATGGGTGGCCGATTAGAGGGACTCACTATGGGGCAAACTCGGGTCTGACTCTGATATCACTTTATTACGAGATCATTACTCTCTCCCTAAAAGATTAACCCATTAGAGTGTGCAACGCATTTATTTATATAGCTAAGACCTTTCTCAAGTCCTTTCGATGGAAGACCTAACATGTTGCCCCTGACTAAAAGGGTGGCACTCTGTTCTTGCTACAAGAGTTACTCTCACCATCCTCATTATCATAGAAGTCTATTGATGCACTTACTTTCCATCCTCCCTTAAAAAACAAAAAAATTTCTTCTCTATTGATCCCTTTTAAAGTAGATGGGAAAAATAAATTTAATCAAAATTACTATTCAATATTTAGGATTGTAATTGAAAAAACAAAACAATTAATTTTTAACACATTATAAGATGCTTCATGCTTTGATGAATGAAAATAAATAAGGAGAAAGTAAACGAAAAGAAGCCAAGTATATAATGATGTAAGTTACCTTGGGCTTAAACAAAGATGAGCCAAGAGCCAGACATGCGCTCGAACAACATAGCATCCTCATCCCCTTAGATGACCCTTGTAGGAAATCTCAAACCTCAATTTTGGCCATCATTTCCATCAAAAGCCTGCTGGTAAAACAAGTGGTTCAACCAAAACTATCAACAGCCTGGTTCTAATGAATTATTTTCATTTAAAATTTTATCATTTTTGTTTAACATCATCTGTATGTAATTAATCTATCATTTCCCATCAATTAAACTCATTACATCCCTTTTTATGAATAGTGATAGTAATGAATTTATCAAGACCACCTTATTTAAATTGAATTGATTTCTTGACTTTCATGTTTCTCTTCAAATTTCAGGACCAAGATCATATTTTTTTATAATATATCATATATACATTGTATAAAAATAAAAAAAAGAGCAACAAGAAAGAAATGTAAATAAATTGAAGTTGCACATTCAGTAAGAAAAGAGTTATGAAATTATTAAGAAATAACAAAAATTCAACATTGACATTTTCCACCGCAAATTATGAAAAAATTATTTATTTCAAACTCGAGTCATTTCAAATTAGTACTAGTTGTATTGCCGCATTTTCTTAAAAACCTTCACTGCATTCACCTATTTATTTTCTTCTTTCATCTTCAAACTTCGGAATGACAACACCCCTAACACAAATTCTCACCCCCTCATCTCCCACACAGATCCCAACCCATTCAGTGCATGCTCACCTCCTCATCTGACAACACTTGTGGTGAAACACACTCATTTTTAATCCTATTCTCATTTCCATTTCATGCTAAACAAATGCCTAATGCTCTAGAAAGCCCACTTGCTCACTGATGCCAGACAAAAGCCGTGCATTATCTTGCAGCTGAAGCTAAAGGTGAAAAATACAACAGAAAAAATACCAAGCAAAAACTATTTTCAAAAAATTACATCACTTAAAAATTACTTACTATAAAAATTTAAATAAATATTTGTTGACTCAAATTAATCTTTTATTAACAAATATCATTTAAATTTGAACAATAATTTTATATAAATTAACAATAATCCATTCAAATTTTTTTTCTTCAGATTTTAAAAACAATTAACCCTTTAGCTGATATAAATTTTTTTCGAGAGAAAACTCAGGGAGGACTCAGTCAGCCTTTCTGCTACATGCCATTTTCAACGTGCCATGTCCATAAGCCGCTTTCTATTCACCATATACACACAGTAAATGCAACTTTACTTTTTGTAATTTTGTAAATACGAGTTCTTTCTTGACATAAACTTCGTAAATACAAAATTGATTCATCTGTAGGCGTTGTCCACGTCAAAGCTTTAGAAGAATACGGTATATCATAAGTGTTACACTAATTCCATCTATGATTGACAATTTTTACTCCAACCATTACGGGAAAAAAACATTCGTTCATCCTCATAGCAACGAACACTGGTGGATGCTACCTTCAGCAAAGCATGATACCTCCCAGTCAATCAGATACCTAAAATTCATCAAGCAATCAATAAAATCCAATCCATGACTTACTTATGTAAAAGACTAATCAGGAAAGCCAGCATGTACCATCACCTTTTGAGGACCCATTTTCAGTCAACGTTATCAATTTTAATGGGTGTGATATCATCGGCAACGTTGAAGTGCCCGATCAATCGTGCGAAGAACACCATTTGTTGTTCAAGCGTAAACTTTATATTTTCAGCCTGCATTCGTCCCATTGTTATATATATAGCTATTGTTTCCAACATAAATAGACAATTAAAGAGATCAGCACTAACCTTTCGGAAACCATGCTGTTCTCCTTCATACTCAACAAGGGCCACTGGGACACCCTTTTCCTTCAAGGCCTGGTATATTTTCCGAGCTTGCTCTGGGGGCACAACCTGCGACAAGCATAACATATTTTTCAATGTCACTGGATATTTAAGGTAAACTTATGAACATGTCAACCATAATCTTTGGACATTGGGCGGGAGGAAATAATAACTGCATTGTTGCTAACCTTGTCCTCCAATCCTTGAAATAAAATTATGGGACAAGAAAATTTTTCCACATGGTTGATTGGGGATCTCTCAAAGAATTGCTTCTCACCTCCTGCAATCAGCTAAGTGATTACCTGAACGATAAATATTAGAAGAAACATAAACTGTTATCTTGAGATGATACTGTTAATTTACCAACAAGATTATCGATGTAATGGGATTCAAATTTATGAGTCTCTGCACTCAACATTTTCAGATCGGCCACCTGTTTCAGAGATCAATTGGCATTAATACCATAGTACAAGAAGACCGATAGTTTGAAAAATTATAACCACACCCATGCACACAAAAAGCAGCAAAAATTCCAAAGTTCCAATGAAGTCTACTCGTACCATGTAAGCAAACATGCAGATATATCTGTCTATCTGAACTCAAACGTCTTGTCAGGAGAACAGAATGATAGAAATGAAATTTATTAATGCGTCAACACGTGCATTCATTGTAAATTTTCCCTTCCTAATTTTGTTTTCAAGAGTAAGGCTTTATTTTCTTTATTATACATCTAGACGATCATGGAGAAGGGAAACAAAAACATTCACTTAACAGTACAGGAAATTGATAAAATAGACATAATATAGCTAATTTGCAAACTAACTAATGCTATTTTGGCATTCTCAATCATGAGTTGGCTGCTCATTGTAGCAAAAACCATTCCTCCGAGAGCTTACTCTCAATTAGAGAAACAGGCCTGCCCAACATATAAGATTAAGAATATGAAGAACTTCTTTTATCATTATTTCCCGATTTTGTTAAATTCCTTCTTAACTAATGAAGGAAAATAACACCTTGTTGAACATCTACATAATGCTAATCGCTGGCGTGTCAAAAACCTTCAACATGTTCTATTTTTCCATGATAGAAATAAATTAGAAGACTGAAATCATTAGCTAAAACAAACAAGATTATTTACAGAACTTACACCATACAAAGAAGCCCCAGCTTTAAATGTTTCCTTAAAAGCAAGAGCAGCTAAGGTGGTATACCCACCAGCAGAGCCCCCAGTAATACACAGCCGTTCCCCATCTACTTTTCCACTGTCCACCTGGATAAAGAAATCATTGATAAGGCCACTCTTCCAGCAAATCCATCCACCAGAACCTAGACAAGAACTAAATTCACGACATGTTTACCAAATACTTAGCACAGCTGCAACAGTCATCAACATCAACTATTCCCCAGCGACCCAAAAGTCTTTCTCGATACTCTCTGCCATAACCTTCCAAATAATGTTCTTATCAGGCCAAACAAATATTCCACAAGACATTCAACAGGTCATATCTTACATGAACTCAAGCAAAAAGGCTTGTAAAAACTATCTGCCTCAAACATTTTAAGAATATAATTTTGTAGCCAAGGAGAGAAACAAACCAGTGCTTCCACCATAATTAACATCTGCAAATGCCCAACCTCGACTGGTCCAGTACTGAATGTTAAGATTTAAAACACCACGCGTTTCAGCTGTTGGTCCTCCTAAAATATTTAATACAAAATCACGCATATAAATACAACTGATGTACTCAGTCAGAATACCATATGAACCTCACCTGGCAGGTTCTCTAACAGTGGAAAAGTACAAAAACAATGATAATCAGGTAGTCTAATATTTTTCACTCGAATTTGAGTCACTTAAAAAACTTCACCAGCTTTATACATATCACATTCAAATTCTAATCAAGTTTATAGACATATATGATATGCATTCAGTCCATTAATTGATCAGAAAGTTCATATTAATTTTGTTCCTTAAATTCAAATAAAACTTGGCAATATAATAATCATGAAATGGCATCAATAGTGGCTCTAATATTAGTACATCATCCACTGAGAAGATTTATGGTTTAATTGAGAGAAACAAAAAACACACCCAAAGCCTGAAAAACTGTTGGTACTGACTAGAGGGGAAAAAAAAAGAGCATGGGCAATAAACCAAAGCTACCATGTATTTAACAATGTCAATTAAAAAAAAATAGTGATGTATAACTACTCCTACTCCCCTTTATAATACACTCATTAACCTCATAATACACATAATTTTTAGTTTTACTACTAAATCAGTGAGCATATTATATCCTTTCTAAGTAATCACGCGACTCAAGACTACAAAAGACCTCTGGTTCCTGAAGAAACACCCTCTTCTAGCATGTATAAAACATATTAGTGATAAATGCAAATATGAAATTGAAGATTAATCCAGGTGCAAAACGAAGAGAAAATACCATGGCTCTTCAACAACAAAGGAGGTTTTTCCTCTTGACTGGCTTGATAAGTAGGATTACATGGTGGATAAAAGTAAGCATAAGCATTTTGACCAGGAACTTCAGTGGGGAATTCAATCAACTCTGGCTTACTAAAGTATGAACAATAATTTAAACTATCTGGCGAGGAGGACCAAACAATACTGAAGTCAACAGCTTTTACTTTCTGGTCATCTAAAGCCACCTGAAAAGCAAGAGGTATTAGGGGCATTGAAATAACTCAAACATTGAAAAGGAGGACAAGGGGGCAGCACCTTGGCCCTGATGACGGCTGAACAGCAGATGCTCCCTCTACATATAGGCCATCTTTTCCAGAAGTCTGTGTTGACATGATTGCATGTGTCAAATTATTGTTGGGTTACCACCTTTAAAACTTAGACAAACCCAAAGAAGCAGAAAAACAAAGAAACAAATTTAAAAATTACAATGTTATCAATATCTGTAAAAGGGATATCAAGCACGATAATATTTGAGCTTTCCACATCATCAATAATTCCGATATACGACCTCCCCAGTTGCCTACATATACAACCAAAACCTTAAATGAGCTATAATTGATGACATTTGCAAACCAACTATATAAAAGAAAAGATGAAAATAAAATGCAAGAAAATAGCAATCTATAAATCACCTGTAACTGCAAGCAATTAAATTTCTCTGTCTACCACTTTGAATAAATTCATAAGAATTTATACCAAAAACCCACAATGGCCTTGAAAACTCAGCATCCAAAGAACAAACAGGCACCACCTTATTCTCAGACTCAATCTGTGGCCAATTAAAAGAAAACCAAAAAAAAAAACAGTAAATTCATTAATGATTATTGTATGTCCAACTAGAAAATATGATGAGGCAGACCAATTTTTGCCGCTATTATCTGGTCACTGTGGAATTTAAGATAAGCAGAAAAGAAACAGATGATCATACTTGGAAAAGCAAAATAACAAGAAGGAGCATTTGTAGCTGTATTATTTAACAATTGGATACTCAAACCCGATAGCAGGAACCACATATCATGTAAACAATTAACGACATACTGTATAACATGTTAATTTGGCAGATTCTAAATTGACTAAAATTGTTAAAAGGAAGAAAACAAACCAATAAGAAACTCTACTTGGTCAAAACAAATAAATATAGCTGGCAAGTGGAAGCACACAAGGTTGGCTTTAAAAAATTTACGCTAAAATTATAATACTTTTCAGTGTAATGTTCTATTTCTGTATAAGTACTAAAATCACAATTTTAATGAATAAAATTAATCTCAAAGTAATAATGAGAATTTATCCATGTTGAAAAGAAAAACGTAATGGAAGCCAATATTAATGTTGTAAAAATAATAAGATAAAGAAATTTACCCATTTATGGAGATTCCAAAAGCCATTTCCCCTATCAGTAATGAAAAATAGTTCCCCTGCATAATGAAAATTATTCAAAAAAATTGTTTTGACATAAAAATCAGAAGGCTAAGATCATTACTAATTTTCTAGTTGGATTCAACACAATCTTAAGAACACAGTAACATTATACATAAATTCATAACATTCACTGACGGCAACACACATCTCTAAAAACAATGACATGCAGTTATGCACCAAGAGTGTGGATAGCCGACATAATTAAACACTTAATTATTAATGTTAATGGGGCATTTCTATACCATTAGGGGACCACTTGGGTTCAGTTACAGACTCCACAAGCGAAGGATCAATGCCGGCAATGCAGCTGCGCTTAGAGATCTCTCTGCATGTAATCTCAAGATGATTAATTAAGCTTCTAACTGAAACATGGCACGCATAGAATAGAAAACTGTCACCAACTAAGATGCAGAATTTGAAAAAGCTGTCACAAAGAATTTGAAAAATAAACCCGCTAAAAAAGAAGGGAAAGGAATGGGATAATAAACCTATGTGTAGACACAAATTAAATAATCGCTTTTGTCTTTCCCAAGATTACCGAAAGAGGCAGGATTACATGAGTTGTAGGGTTTATGTGTTTTGTTGTAGGGTTCACAAAACAGTTGAATGCCTGTAAAAATGTCAGCTATTCCTATCCAAACATGGAATATAATAACCAAAGCACATCACGAAATGGAAGTATGTAATGAAAGTATGTTTCATCATCAGTTCAATAAGAGAACCAACTCGGTAAACAAACTGAATTCTTCCAACTGACGCATAAATGCTTGCTCACCCATTTTCAGAAATATAACCGACCCAAAGTTCTGATTTATCCCAGGGCATGTTAGGGTGATTCCACTGAATCCATGCTATCCGTTCATTTTTTGGATCAAAGCGTGGGAAAGCATAGAAGTCACTTCCGCTAACTAATACTTCAGGTTCTGAATGTCACAACAAAATTTTGATTAGATAACGCATGGAATCATCAAAAAGCAACGGGAAAACCTACGGACATCATGATGGAATACGTATTCACAGTATTCAATCAACCCTACCTTGAACATCCTTATTGCCAAGAGCTATTGATACAATTGTTGTGGTTGAATTTATATTGCTAACCCGACGATCTACCAAAAAGATGTATCACTGAATAAATGAGTGATTTAATAGGTGTAGATGTTGTGGGAACATTCTAAAATAAGTAGTAGAGACAGGTTTTTTCTTTCCATTAAAAGTTATTATGAGCGTACCTTCCTGTACACAGACATAACGGTTAAAGCGTGCATCCAATAATCCATCAGCATAGCTAACTACTGGTCCCCCGTAATCGGGAGTGAGAGGGACGGGAGTAACATCTGCAAGGGACGAGCCACATAATTTCAGTATTAATTACATTCCAATGAATTCTTAGTAGGCCAAGCCCATTTTAGAAGTGCTGACTCTATTCTCTACCAAAGATTTTCTCCTAGATCACCGCTTCACATACACTTGCGAGAACATCGAAACAAGGTGGTGCAGACGCCAAACTTACTTATTGCTTATAAGCCGGGGGAAAAGGTTGATACAGTATATTAGAAAGAAAACGGAATGCGTGATTGAAACAAACAAAAGACAGCACGAGAGGTGAAAACCACTCAAAAAGTCAAAAATGCAAGCCACACAAGTGCCCTGCCAATAAAATCTGTTTCGGAAAAAAATTAAAAAAAAGGTTTAACTTCACCTTTGAAGAATGGAGAATGGTGATGCTAACCTGGAGAACTTATAGATTGCTTGTACAGTCTCTGATCCTTGTAATTTGCGAAGATAACAACGTCTCCCGAAACACTGAAGGCACCACCTCCATACTCTTGAGCGACTGTTCGCACTCCGAACTCTTTCGGCGTGATATCGATGGGCTCATCTCCTGGTTTTTCCGGCTCTCTAACAAGGACCGTCCTCCTGAAACACAATCACCAAATGGATTTATTTCGATAACTCTAAATTGCAAAAGATAGCGAAGTTGGATCGGCGAGGTTTACTTGAGCAAGTGATAAAGAAACAGAACAACATACAACGCTCATACCCAGACTCGGTGGGGCGGGATTCCAACCAGATGAGGCGACCATGACCATCAACGGCAGTGCCACCGAGTCTCTTGGAGGCACCGGAGACAACATCAGCGGTGAGAGGAGACTTCCAGGAGCCATAGGGAGCAGAGATTAGTTCTTTCTGAGCTGCATCCTTGTTGTGTGCAGATGTCGGTAGGGTAGTCATTGCCTTGCAGCTTTGACGCTGCGACTGAGTTACGGTGCCAAGAAAGGCGACAAGTCTCGCGTTGAAATGGTGGAACTTGTAGCGATTAAGGCATCCAGAACCGGCAGGAGCATACCAAAGGAGGATACTGCCTGCGGCTAACGGAATCATCCACTGGAATAAAAGAATGCAGTTGAACCAAGCGTAAGTTTATACAAAATATTTTTCTGGAAGGAAGGGGGCAAGCAATACAAAAAAGCAAATTACAAAAAGGGAGGGAGGCTGAATGCCTTAAGGTCCAGCAGAAAATAAGCTAGGTTCGAAGTTGAAACAATGCAGCAGGGGCCTCAGGCTCAGGGTAATTTAGGTTGAAACGAAACAGGGGAACGAGGTCCCCACTGGCCACAGCATGTCTTGATGGGCTGGCATATGTAGTTCATCAACTCAGGCAATGTAAATGAATTGGGCCAACCCAATCTAATTTTATACATCAACCGGGATAATCCAAGTTGCTTCGCATTCCAACTGTTGAGAAAGACCGCATGAGACACGTATGCATGTGTATTTAATGGGCTGGTTTCTCAAAGGTGAGCTCCGGAAAATTCTCAAAGGTCTCAATTTTTATTAAAATGCTAATCTTCACAAAGTCAGTATTTATTTTGATTCAATGTAAGTTTTATCACTCATTGAGCACAACTTTCATAAAAGACACCCAGTTTTGATATCATCAAAAATATTAGATATCTCACTATGAAGAATTAGATGATTACCTTCCACCATGTTTGTGGAGAAGCCAACAAATATGCCAACTTACTCACATGATAGCATTCTTAAGACAATTTAGACATTAAAATTATTGACAATCCCCCATCTGATTTTTGTCACTTTTGTAAGGTTATACCGTGGCCTTATAATAAAAAGAAAAAATTGGTCCAATTTCCCTACTCATCAGAGGGATGCTCATCCAGTAATGAGATATGGACCATTTAGATATTTAATTTGGATAGTCTAGATTTAAAGTATTATTATATATTTTTTATTTTATATTTATTAAAATTAAAAATTATAAAAATAATTTTAATAAATTTTTTTATTTTTAATCTGATCTAAATTTAATTTGAAGGGCTCAATTTAATATAAAAATTTTTATAATTATTATATATTAATTATCCAAATGTATTTTACACAGTCTAAATTTAATTTGGTATTAAGTTGAACCATGCAAAGTACATTTAGATGATTAATATACATCAACCATAAAAATTTGAATGTTAAATTAGACCCTCTAACTTAAATCTAAACCATATTAAAAATAAAACTTTTATTAAAATTATTTTATAATTTTTATTTTAATAAATATAATATGTAATAGTCCATATCAAATTCTGGATAGTCCATATTCATTACATGGATGAGCATATTAAATTTGGATTGTGCAGAGTACATATAGATAATCATTGTACATCAACCATAAAAAATTTAATATTAAATTAGACATTTTAAATTAAATCTAGATCAAATTAAAAATTAAACAAAGTTAACATGATTATTTTATGATTTGTATAAATTTTTATTATAATAAATATAATATATAATAATACTTTAATTTGAACCATCCAAGATCTAGATAGTTCAAATCTCATCACAAGAATGAGCACCTGTGATGGGCGGGAAAACCAATTCCTTATTTAATTAACAAATTAATCAATGAAAGTTAAGTATAGTGAAATGAGCTAATTTCTCACAATTTAATAGAAGAGGGTTCAAATTTTTGCTAGAAGCTATTCACATGTAATACTCTACAGTGTCTTGAACAGGACTCCAATAAAAAAAAAACATGTGAGTACAAAAAAAAAACCAAATTAACTCATTGAGAAAAAAAAAAGGTTCTTGAAACTGCAAGATAAATGCCCAAACAAAGTTCATGCATCGATATGACGTTTCTTACCATTAAAAAATCCCATAGCTCTTTCTTTTGACTTGCTTATGTGAATTAAAAAAAAGGTTAAAAAAAACAGATAAAGAGACCTTTAGGTTTTATTGGAAAAATAATTGATAAATTCAAATAATGACACATTTTACGTTGACCGTAACTTATAAGACCTTGACCTTTGACTTTTCATGAGCTAGAGTAAGACACATACTAATGATTAAGAAACATGTACTTACAAAAAGGAAGTACATTATCTCCTAGATCTGTTGTCATTGTTCACCATCTAAATTCGACACGGTGGGGATGATCAGATATTATGAGAAGAGCTATATCATTGTGCAGCCGGTTCACATTTCTATCCTCATAATTAGAATGATCTCTGAACTCTGATAACCATTGCCAGGGAAAGGGGGGGAAAACAGGAAGAGGGTGATCTAGACAAGCTGGGCGCGTGGCATGTTTTAAGTGGGATCAATGCTGAAAATTGAGAACTTCCGGAAGGACTCGATATCTGTTCACACCAAAGTTGGCTTAGCACCATGTAAGTCACTGACTATAAACATTCAACCATGGCTTTTTTTTTTTTAATTATTATATGTGTAATCTGGCCAACTTGAATAAATTCCACACATTTTTAGGTTGGATTTGAAAGTTTAGAATATATTTATTCGGTCACCCAAATAATCTCGAATAACCAAATTATGTTTTATGATTAATAGAATTAAATTAAACTTCACCCCAGCTTGCACTTAGTAGTATTCACAAACCATATCTCAGACTATCAATTCTCACATTTCACGTTTCTAAATAAAGTTTTAATAACTATTTGTTTTGATTTTCTTAAAGAATGTTAAGGAAAAATAAATTCAAGAAGTTACTTTATATGCTTTTATTTATACTCTTTCAATAATTGGTCTCACCTTCATAAGGATAAAAAAAAAAAAAGCACATTGCACTAGTATGTTGCTTGAAAACTCTTAAATTTTTAAGTTAAAAATTGAAACTGTTTCAAAAAAAAGAAAAAGTAAAATAAAATAATATTTAATAATTTAAACTTGAAATGTTAGGGTTAGATTTGTCCATACAGACTTTTTATATGATAAGCCAATTCAAATAAACCTGCCCTAATTAAATCACCAGTTGTTCTATCCATGATACATGTCTGCTTTTAAACTTAAACATATTCACTGCAAAGATGACGAGACCAAGCGTTAACCGGATGCATAATAAAAAAGTAGAGACACGCTATATAAAGCATAAACAAAATCAATAAGGAAACTTGTGAGATTATCCCAACATGTTAAGCTTGATTGCCTCACCCCCGAAGAAAAGGACGGCTTCTTTTATTGATCTCCATCCAATTTTGAGGCGGTACCATCATTTTCATAATATGTTATTCTCACTGTTTAACTCGGAAATCAAACAGAAAGTTCACCGTGATTTTAGCTCTCCCTCTCCCTCTCTCTCTCTCTCAAGAGTTTCTGATGTAACCACCCAGCTAATTTGGCAAGTACGACACATCAAGCTTTTTATAGAGTATTAGTGCTTTCTACTATCACGGAGTTTCAAATTTTGATTGCGTATCAATCAAAGCATGTCACCTCTTAATCAGCTAAGATTTTCTTGCTTTTCCGGAAAGAGGTTTTGATCAAATGCATATATTTCCAAATAAGCCCCCAGGCAATTGAATCCGTCACATTAAACAGCTAGTAAAGGCGGGGTAACATCAGTGATCCCATCACCACACCAACAATTGATAGGCAAAGACAAAAGGACTTAAGGATTCGATAGTAATTGAGCCGAGGACCATTCATTGATTTGAAACTCCCCAATCTTACATGCAGTCAAACTTCAGCCTAACTTGATTCTACATTAAAAAAAAAAACTATAAAAGCCACTATTGAAGGCCTCCCGTCCCTACCACACGATTTAACCACACACCTCAGCGTTTTAATTTGATCCTGATCCTGATTGCAGCTCCAATCAAGCACAGTGTTTCTTTTCTTTTTCATCATGCTCATAACTGGCACCAAAAAAGTGTGATGAATAAAAATGCTTGCTAGCTCACGCATGATGCAATTAGAAATTTTTTGAATAGAAGAACACGAGTGGCACGAAAGATAGAGGTGTTCGAATCAGATTGCCATGTAGCATAGGTTGGCAGCTTTATGTCCCTAACACGGTACCGTAGGAATGCCGACACTGGTCCTTTCTTTTTCACGAGTCGCATGAAAGGTCCCCACTGGAGGACACTAATTAATCAGATTTGGTTTGGAGATTAATGGATAGCCTGCGCGTCTTCCAAAGCGGTGCTGTTTCCTAGCCCAATTAACAGCCTGAAAGACTACTAATACCTATATCTGAAGCTGAAGAAGTTATATTATAGGACGAAGCTTTAACTCTGCAACTTTATCATGAGTATAAGGGTAGAGATGTATTTTTATCTTAAAAATATTTTTTAAAAAACATTCAATATTTTAATATTTTTATTGAAATAATTTTATCTTAATATTATTAAAAAAAATATTTTTTCCTTTTTATTAAATTTTTAACATTAATCTTTAAAATTAATTGTTAAAAAATTTGATAAAAAAGACAAATTTTTTTTGATAACATTAAAAATAAAATTATTTTAACAAAAACGTTAAAATGCCGAGCATTCTTTAAAAAATATTTTAAAAATAAAAACGTACCTTTACCCCAACAAAGAGTAACTAAATAAAAGGGAGAAAATAGTGCTGCTTGATGTATTTTTAAGCTCGAGACTTTTAATGTATCATTCTTTAATATTTATTGTAATGCCTTAACTTATTAATTTTGTTTTTTTATATCATTTATTTCTACATAAAATAAAAAATATTTTAATATTTTGAAAACTCTAAGCAGTAAAGATTTATATTTTTTATAATTTTTTTAAAAAAGATATTAGAATTATAACCTTTTATTTTTTAAAAAAATAAAAAATATAAATCTTTACTGTTTTGAGATTTTAAAATATCAAAATATTTTTTATTTTATATAAAAATCAATAATCTAAAAAAACAAAATTAAAGACTTGAAATATTATAATAAATATTAAAAAATGACAAATTAGAGACTCTTAAACTTGACAATTTCTACTGCCTAACAAACCTTCATTGAGAAATGAGAATGACATATCGCCTGACGCATTAACAAGGAGCAACTAAAGTGGGCAAGGGAAAGGGAGAGTCACTTAAGAAGAAAAAATGACTCCATAATAATGTTCCCGGCACAGAAATGTTAGGGGAAGGATGGGCTGCATCTTAATAATCAGCGATGGTTTGTGATGGGTTTCCAAAAGCATAAAGCAAGTGATGTTAAGCCACGCGCCTACGTACTCAAAAAACAATAATCCTCTTCTTCCTTCTCTCTCTTACCATTTCCCAGAAATTTTTCATTTTTTCTTCTTCAACGTCCCCACAATCACACCCTGCGGTCCAGACTCTCCTTACCTTATCACATTCTACTCCCCTCTCTATTTCTAGAAACTAGGTCACGTCAACCATTAATCTTTGCTCAAAGTAATTTGAAAGGCCCTCTTCCACTACCCCACTTGGATGGATTCCAAGACAAAGCCCCATTAAGGATCGTCAACTAACTTCGTAACTGGCCAGACCTACTCACCAGCACTGGCAAGACCAATCTCTATAAGCTTCCATGCATCCCTGCCATGATTCAAATTAATAAATTTTACTTTATTTTTTATTTTATAATTATTAGAATAAGAATTATAAAAATAACAAATTTAACCTTTTATCAATTTAAATAAAATAGATTTAATTTTATAGTTTAAATCAATATTAAAATCTTTTGAAATTTTTATAAATTAGCCGTCCAAAACTACTCTGGACAGTTTTGTTTTAAAATTTTTAACTCTCAACTTTTTTAAGTTTTTTTAAAAAATGTCAGTTTAGATGTTATATTTATTTTTAATATTATTATTACTAAAATAAAAAAATATAAAAAAATTAATGTTTAATTTAAACCATTTCACATGTAAATTTGTAAAAATTATAAAAAATATTATTAAATTGAATAGTCATTATTTTTTTATATTAAAAAATAAAAAATAATTTTTTCAAATGAAGTGCCCTTTTATTTTAGCTTATTTTATAAAAAATTTGAAAAAATATATTTTATAAATTTTTACTATGTTTGTCTAAACTTTTAAAAATAATCAAAATATGAGAAAAAGCATATTTTTTTCATTTTAAAAAGCTACTCAAGATAATTTTTTAAAATAATTTAATGTGGTAGATGAGATGCATAAAAATATTATAAAATTTTAAAATAATATAATAATAAATTATTTTTATAAAAAATCAAAGAAGATATCATAAAATTTAGAAATAACTAACTAATAGTCACTTTTTATTATTGTAATCAAATGTAAAATAATATTTTTTTATAAAATATCTACAAAATAAATCTCTTTTTATAAAATCTCTAAACTATTTAATAAATTATTTAAAAATTATTTATTTTTAATTTTAAATGAACGAGCCCTAAATCTGTATTGTTCATATGACTGGTAGATTCATTAAAATTTTTATATTTTTTGTTTTAATAAATATTAAATAAAAACAAAATAAAAACTTGTGAATCTGGACCATCAGATTAAATTTAGATTGTTGATTAGGGGATGAGCACCCAAGTCAATTCCGTACCCCCTCTTTTGATTCTGAGCCGTGAGGCGTCAACCAGGTCTGTTTTTTCCCCGAGGACTAAAACCTTAATATATATGACATGGCATAATTATAATGTCTTTTGTTTCAATCCAGTCACTGCTACCCCACGGAAAACCAAGTAATAGAATCCCTACTCAGCCACGACCATCACATGTCAAGGGAGAAACGCGGCGGCGGCAAGTTCTCCACTGGCGGCCTGTTAAAAATGTTCAAGCTTTTTCCTATGCTGACGTCGGGCTGCAAAATGGTGGCACTATTGGGAAGACCCCGCAAGTCAATGATCAAGGACAATGCAACTTCCGGCACAATCTTTGGATACCGTAAAGGGAGGGTGAGCCTGGCAATACAAGAAGATCCTCACCGCATGCCGTTCTTCCTTATAGAGCTACCAATGCACACGAGTGCTCTGAACAAGGAAATGGCGTCGGACGTACTGAGGATTGCGTTGGAGAGCGAGACGAGGACCCAGAAGAAGAATCTGTTGGAGGAGTTTGTGTGGGCAGTGTATTGCAATGGGAGGAAAGTAGGGTACTCGATAAGGAGGAAGCAGATGAGCGAGGATGAGATGTACGTGATGCAGCATATAAGAGGGGTTTCGGTGGGCGCAGGGGTTATTTCAAGTCCGTCCGACAAGGAAAGTCCAGACGGAGAATTGACATATATGAGGGCAAGATTTCAGAGGGTGGTTGGTTCTAAGGACTCTGAAACTCTGTACATGATCAACCCGGATGGTGGTCAAGGCCCAGAGTTTAGTATTTTCTTTGTTAGGGCTCACTAGGTTTTTAATTAATTAATTAATAATTAGGACTACAATTCATGTAAACATTACGTCCCCTCCTCTGTCTTGTTTTTTCGCAAGGTGCTGATGTAGTATAATATTAATCAAAGGAATCAGTCTCTCCAGTCTTTGTCTCGTGTATTTTTTATTTCTGCCTGTCTGCAAACATTTGTACTATATTGAAGGCAAATTCATCATCAAGAATGGGTGTCTTTCTCTTTGTTCCTCGTGTTCTAGTGTGCGCGACTCAATTCCTAGAATGAAGCTTCTGCTGATGGTTAATGGATGCTTTTTATTTCTTAATACCCCTGTAAAGCTGGAAAAAACTCGTTCTCGAGCTAATTGATGAAGTTCACGACAAGTTGATTGATTTGATTGAAGAAATTCGCAGTGAAGGTAAAAGCCAGGGAGATTGCAACAGATGCTTTCTTTCTTTCTTCCTTTGAAGGGGAGCAAAGGGGCGCGTTGGTTTGGATTTGGTAACTAGGGGTCAGAATTCAGAAGAATTTACTATTTACTGATTTCATAAAATCGTGAAGACAGGGCACCAGTAGCACTTGAATTGACGACGATCGACGAGTTCCGTTGGAAGGGCATTTATTGGTAATAAATTAATAACCCACGAGCAGATGAGCATGCTAAAACCTATAAGTTGTTACGCTGAGCTTTCAAACTTGATGAATTGATGACACCTTTAGATCAGGGAAGCTTGGCGGACTCTTTATCTTGTGGATGTCACACACAGTCATTTTTTCCCCTACATCCACGGTAATTTTATTTCTTCAGTCTTCCAGAAGTAAGGAGCCAGCCGGCCTTTCGGTGAAAAAAAGGAGGAGAAGGAGAAGCCAATGGGCCACAGTCAGAACAGAATGACAGAGCGATATCACTTTATAACCTAAATTAGGATGGATCAACTGAAATTAGAATGAGAAAAGGTTTAAAAAACCTGCTTGAATTATTATTACAAAAAAAAAAACTTGCTTGGATTATAAAAAAAAAATTTCAACTTTAGTTAGGATATAAATGAGTTTTTTTACTAAAGCTAGAATTTTTGACTTTTGCATTCACATTAACTTCTCCGTTGATCTATTAGCTTATATTTTCTCTCTCTTCTTTTTTATTTTGAATATTTAAAATTTTTTATTTATTAATTATAATTTTAAGTATAATATTTTTTACTTATTATTTAGTCAAAAAATTTCATGTTTATTTTTTTATTGAACATTTCAACTAGTTTTTGGGTCAAATCATTTAAATAAATTTTAATTTATTTAATTAATTTTTTTAAAAATATTTAAATATAAATTATGTTATATTCATTGGCTTTTTCTTAACTTTAATTGAATTCTAATCTTAATTATAAATTTTTTAATTCAAACTAACACATAATTTCATTCAAACCCATTTATTTCGACAGAACCCAGCTGACTCGCTTTTCTTTGGATTTAGTTGGGTTAAGCAGGTTCGGGCTTCGGAATGAAAGCCCATGAATCCCTGGGCACGACAACCCACTTTATTTTTTTACTAGTTGAGACGGCCAAGTTCAGTGATGAATGAATAAGTTAGATGATTTAATTTGAGTATCTTTAGGAAAAAAAAAAAGCAAGTATAATTTTTTAACGTGAATTGATTCTGTAAAATATGAATCTTGGTTTGAGTAGGCTTTTAATGATTTGGAGCTCGTGCTAAATCCACAAGTATCTCGGGGATTGCAAATTTGCAATTAAGATCCCTGGAATATGAAGCTCGCATTTCCTCCACACCACTTACATACATTGATGAAATTAAACAAAAGTCGCGTTGATTGGTTTTTTAGATAATGTCTGAGATTGTTATTTTTTTCAGTGTAGTTTGATGTGAATAAACTGCGTGCGTGCATTCAATGCGTCATTAATTTGATCCGTACCATTAATGACGGGTGTGATATTTTTTGCTGTGAACTTTATATTTTATATTAACATTGATAATTAATATTTTTAAGAAGTTTCAATAGTTTGAAAAACTCAGATTTTTTTTTTGGTTGAAGACCTGAAATTTTTTGCAGATCACGAAATCTCATCAACTGAATATGGTTGAGTTAGAAGATTCAATGATTTTCCAAGGAAATTGATGAGAACCGAGCTTGCTGCTCATTGAGGCATAAATGTAGGGATAAAGAATATTATTGGCCAAAAAAAAAAAGATAAAAAAATTGCTTTCTCTGGATACAGAGACAAGAATTAAAATATTTCGCCCACGATCACCTTCGACTATTCACATATGTATATATTTTACAAATGCCATGCCCACCCTGCGCGGATACGAAGTGAACAGGCTTTTATTTTGCAGGGAGGGGATGGAGCGAGAGCCATATATAGCATTTAAATCAAGGCGTTACAAATTTTACATTTCGTATTTAGTATATTGATATATTGAGGGTACAGCATGGCGCTTAGAGAAAAGCAAGGACATGATCCAAATAAGAAGCACTGACGACGGGGAAGAGGCGCGAATGTAAAGCAGAAGAAGGGTCAGAAAAGAGACCAAAGAGGAGATGCAGAGCTCATAGAAGAGGAAAAACTAACATGGCAAGGTTGGTATAGTGGCAATGGCAGAGGGTGAGGAGCAAAAGGGTAGGGAGGGGGCAGGGATGGGGCCCAGTGGTGGCGAAACATGATCAAAAACAGCGGCAAGAGGAGGGGGCCCCACCAGGAGGGACGGAGAAGAAAAACATGAAACCCGTTTGGATGGTAGCATCCCATAATTGAGGTGGTAATTAAGCAGGAAGAGCAGACAGAGAGATTAATGAAGGGAGTCGGTGGGTAAGGATTTGGAGCCAGCTGTTGGATTCTCCATCAACTGCCCAACTGCTTCTCCTCAATAGCCCCTCCAAACTTCTGTGAGCTCTCTTCTTCCCCCCCTCCATTTCTCACTAGAACTGGGTCATTTGGGTCCACCTTTGTCAGGCTATTTTGAATGAACGAACCGCATTTGGTTTTATGACCACCTTTTTATGTCCGGGTATTCTGAATAAATCCGCCCCACCAATATTATTGGTTTTATTCCTCACCTCCCACTCCCCCCCCCCTGGGGCATGCTAATGTGACTACAAAAATTACTATCTTCTTTTGCCATGTGATTCATATGATGTTATTAATCTTCATCCGCGGATTACACTTTAATGAATGAAAAAATTACAGTTGCAATTCACGTTGTGTCATGGTGTGATTGACAACTTGAAATAGGAGGAGGACGAATAAAAGGGAGAATATCAATAAGGAACTCTGAAATGATCTAAATTTATATCTGACTACAAGTTAGACACTCACCAACAAAAATAGAACGAAGGGGAGAGTGAGGGGAGTGGCGATGGGAGGGAGAGGGAGGGGAAGTCAAAGAATCACGTGAGATCCTGACAGGCTGGAGGTGGGCCCATCCTACGTGGAGAGGGGGAGCCGTTGAAGTCAAACAACGCCTGCTGCCACTTCCCGCCTTTTTCCTGCTTCTCCTCTCAACTGTCTCTTGAATCAGCCCTCCTCCAGCTGTACCCTCCCCTCTTTTCCCACGCTGGTCAACATGCAATTCCCTTCTTCCTCCCCACTTTCCCCCTTCCCTCCCTTCTTCCTATCATTATATTGAACAGACCATTCTAAAAATTTCATATGCAAGCTCAATTAAATATAGCAAAAGCATGATAAATTTATAAAATTATTTTGAAGTCTTATTTTTTTGAAGTTATAAAATACTTTTAAATAGTTATTAATTATTGTTGTTAGTTATTAATTGTTAACTGAACAATTCTGTTAACGACTACTATTCAATAATATATAATTGATGATTTGAATATAACAAATTAACAATTTCAGTGAAAAACATAAGATTTTAAGATAATTTAGTGATTTCTTGAAACTTTTATATTTAGATTCTTTATGAGATTTTGGAATGATTTTTTCTATTATATTCCTCCTGATGCCACAGCGGACTGAGGCTTTGATGGAGCGTGCTAGCAGTCTAGCACCAACCATGTACTACGTACCACACCAAAATACGCAATTAGTAGTTAGTATATAATGGCATGTTAGAAGCCACACACAGCCACCAACTATGCACCAAGCCTATTTCGTGGAACTATCCTCTAACCTCGTCGCTTCCGCTCGTGCATGCACCACTATCTCTCTATCACCCTCCCTCCCTCCCCCTTATATATATTCCCAGCCCAAACATATTCCCTTTGCCTTCACTACCATCCCAACACTCCCACAACACACACAAACTCTTTCCTTTGATTTCTTCCTTTGACACTGACAATACCTTTCATTCTCGCTCTCCATGGAAGCGATCAATAGATGCTCTTCCTCCACTTCTTCCTCTGACTCTTCCACTTCCGGCTCTTCCTTTTCCAGCAACCCCCGGAGGATTCGGGACAACCCCGACAGAATCAAAGGCCCCTGGAGCGCCGAAGAAGACCGGATTCTGACCCGACTCGTTGAACGATACGGGCCCCGAAACTGGTCCCTTATCAGTCGTTACATCAAGGGAAGGTCGGGCAAGTCCTGCCGCCTGAGATGGTGTAACCAGTTGAGCCCCAGCGTGGAGCACCGTCCATTCTCACAGGAAGAGGACGACACCATCATAGCGGCTCATGCCCAGTACGGTAACAGGTGGGCCACCATCGCCCGGCTGCTCCCGGGTCGGACCGACAATGCGGTGAAGAACCACTGGAACTCCACGCTCAAGAGAAGGGTGAGGGAGCAGCGTTCGGCGGAGGGAGGCGATGCCGGTGTTGCCAACGAGAGGGTTCTTAGTTCTCCGGGATCTGTGCAGCCCTGCATGGTATCGGAAATGGAAAATGACCCGTTGACGGCATTGACTCTGGCGCCGCCTGGAGCTAATGGGGAGGTGGCCGAGCGCCGGCCAAGTTCGGAGAATGTGCCGGCGGGTTTCTGGGACGTGATGAGAGATGTGATAGCGAGGGAAGTCAGAGAATATGTTTCTTCCACGTTTTCTGAGAACCCGGGTTTCCATTGACATTCGACATGAATGAATGGCATGCCTCTTGTAACTTTCGCCCTGGTCTGGGAGCGGAATATCGGTTTTCACAATTCCGCTTTTGGTGTGAATAAGGATTTTCATTTTATGGGTAAAAATGTTTTTTCGTTTCAATTCCTTTTCAGTTTCACTCCTTCACTGTTCAACCTAAAATCGCGCCATATATTCCTCATATCAACGTTGCCATACGAAATATCAATATTTATTACATTGATCGCGTTCGACGCAGTGGCCATTAAGAAAGGCCAGTTTCTATGTGAAGTCATAATTTGATGCTGAGCATGAAGTTGTCTTTCCATTAATTACTTTATTTTCCTCCTATATTGACAATTAACGATAGAAGATGGGCACTCTATAATAACCAGCAAGCTACATATGCAAACAATTTTCCATTTGGTCTTGAAGCGCCAAAGATAGTGTTTTGTACGATCTATCTACAAAATCTGGTTATTACTTATTATCAAGTTGATCTGTCTGGTCTCTGGTTTCCGCGGCTGGAAAATTGGTCGGTTTGTCTCGTTGAATTCCTCGAGAGACCGTGCATTTATATAACCAAACAGTATGCATCATACTATAAAATTATAATTTCCTTTGTATAGTTGCGAGCGCAGTACTTGCTTATCTTTATTCTTATTTAAATCAAACATTCAATTTCGCCAGTTGTCCGAAGTTTTTCACTGTTCTTGTGGATTACTTACACAGCTGGAACTTATCAGGTTCGGTTTCGTTCAAATCATCGATCACTCCAGCGCATATAAAATATCATTTAAGAGAAAGCATTAATTTCTTTTAAAAAAGGAAAGATTTTTAGATTGAGAAGCTCCACTTTCTCTTTAGATTCTTGGAGAGAAGGTTCATCTTCTTCCTCCTCTGCCCTATACTTTTTCTTCTGACTTTCATGAATCTAAAAAAAAATCTAGATCCTAATTTCATCTTCTCTGCTTCTTTCCAAAAGGAAACCATGAATCCTCCTACTTCCAAAGAGGAAATTAACTTACTCAACTGAAATAGTTCCAAGCCTGGTGAAGAAATGATAGACAAGGGCTCAGAAAAACTCAGATATCAAAAACAAAAGTCCAACAATGCTGTTCGAACCAGTCAAATAATTCAAACAATCAGCCATAAGAACAGCTTATGGACACTCAACAAGATGAAAGCCTAGAAACTCACGTACAGCAAAACAAATCAACATCATTGACTAAAGGAGTCAAAATACCCATTTCTTATAAAGAATCATTGATAGGCTATAATAGGTGTTATGGAATCCAGTCAAGAAGAGAAGTCAAACACAAAAATGAATCTCTTGCTTTAGAATTGGAGAAAGAATGGACGCCCTCTGAAAGAACAATGAATCTAATGAACCAATACCTTGCTTTACAGATATCAAATGAAGAATGGAAGAAAATATGCATGCCCTAGATGGATGCTATAGTTATCAACACATTGATACTTCAACTTAATCCTAGATCACTCAAACCAAGGTTAGCTAAAATGTGGCAACTTAAAGACTTTGAATTGATTGATTTGGTTAATAGCTATTATATAGTTAGAACAAAAGACCCTTCTGCCTATGATAAAATTCTCACTGGGGGCCTCCAGACCATATTTGATCACTGCATTTTAGTTCAGAGGTGGTATCCTACTTTCAATCCCAACTCTAATATATTAGGCAAAATTGCTCTATGTATTAGATTATTGAATATCCCTATTCAATGTTACGGCAAAGAAATCCTCTGAAGAATAGGCAACTACATAAGCAAAACATTAAAGGTAGATTCGAATTCTCTATCAGAAGCTGACTCTGTAGACATGAATGGCAAGACTGAAAGAGGAAAATTTGTAAGAATGAGCGTGAAAGTAGATCTACAAAAGAAACTCGTTCCCCGAATCTTGACAAGAGATGAGCTTTATAATGTGGAATATGAAAATCTCAACTTAATCTGCTTCAGTTGTGGGTGCTACAAGCATAACAAAAGCTACTGTTCCAAAAATCCAAAGAACTAAAACCCAGAACATCTAAGAAGGATTGAAAGCAACAGTAAAAGCATATTTCTAGACCATAATCCAGTTGCTTCAAGGAATCATGAGAGAGAAAAGGAGAATTAAATTCAAAACATAGGAGGCTTGTCGGACGTGATCGAAAACTTACCAAAAGAAGAATTTTGAGCATTCATGTGATTTCAGTGAGACGCTTAACGCTCCAAAAATGCATGAAATCCAAGAAACCAGTCGAATAACCAAGCTATGCATCACGATCGAGGTCTTAAGCCTACTTCCGGGACATGATTTGAGGTACTTGTAAGTCTTGAGCAAGAAATTGTCAGACAAGGAAGAGATGAAGATAGAATGAGTAACGGTAGACCTAAATAGCCGGATCCTATGAAGAATGTCAGACAAGTATGGAGGAAGAAGGAAATAGCAGGTCTGAAGAGGGATAGGCCAACTGATCAAGAGTCTGAAGAAGCAGCGGAATGTACAGAAGGGAAAGAAAAATTTACTGGAGAGGAAAAAGGAAGCAAGTTCACGCATTTTGGGCCTTTATTCTCTTAAAACGGCCTAAATGTTGTTAATATGGAAAATTCAGCCTAATCTGAATTGAAGGCTAAAACCAAATCTATCACACCTATTAAAAGAAATCACACTGTTGTGAGAGGAAGTAAAAGGAATTTGATATCTCCAGAAAGGCCCAATACCGTGAATAACTCAGAGATCATCTCTGATAAAGCTATAAAGATTAAAAGCGACAAAGGATCTATTTTCTCCCCAGACTTAACTATTTAGAAAAATGGTCAGCATATAATATCTGATCAAAATTCTCCAACCCCTTCCAATCATCAACTTGACTAGAGAGAATCTTATAATACTATAGACAGCCAAATTTTTGTTCTAGAAACATAATTAAATATAGCTGTTGTCATGGAGTCAAATAACGATTCAACTGGAGTAGATAATGCCAGTCATACCTCTCCAGTAAACTATGAAGACGACATTTTGGATGATGATCTCTTGGATGAAGATTACCAAATTCACGCTCAAAACAATAATCTAGAGGATGATGAATTCAGTGATGAGGATATTGAAGACATAGATGCCTAATTTCATCTAGGTTTACCTAATCCTTTTAATTATTTTATGAATATTATTTATTGGAATTGTAAGGGTACTTATGCTAAAAGCTTTCCTAAATGCATTAAAGAAATAACTGCTACTTATAATACTCAAATTCTTATTCTTTTAGAAACTAGAACTAATGGCTCTAGAGCTGATAATATTGTTAAAAAATTGGGCTTTTCTGATTGGATTTGTGTTGAAGCAACTAGTTTTGTTGGAGGCATTTGGCTTTTATGGAATAATAATATTATTAATATTGATTATATTTATTCTAATGTCCAACTTCTCCATTGCAGGGTCAATTTTAAATCTACTAATAACTATTATATACTTTCTTGTGTTTATGGTAATCTTAATCCTTTTAATTGTGATCTTCTTTGGGATTCTATTAATTCTATTGCTCAAAATAATTTTGAGCCTTAGCTTGTTATTGGAGATTTTAATGCCTATCTTTTCTGTTAAGACAAATTTGATGGTGACAAATTTAATTGGAAATCCATGAAACAATTTTGACAATGCATAAATTCTTCTAATCTTCTTGAATTAAATTTCCATAGAGATAGATTTACTTGGGAGAAAGGTAAATTAAAAGAACATCTGGACTGGACTTTCTGTAATACTGTTTGGAGACTCAAATTTCACCAAACTGATTCCTTCCATCTTCTCAAATTCAGTTTTGACCATCGCCCAATTAGAATCCAACTTACTAGAAAGGAAAACTAGAATCACAAGATTATTCATTTTAGATGTCATGCTGCTTGGACTCTTGAAGACTCTTTTCACCTTCTAGTTAAAGATTCTTGGAGCACAGATGACTGGAATGAAGGAGTCTCAAAATTTACCCCATCTACTCCCCTTTGGAACAAGAATAAAATTGGTAATATATCCTCCAAAAAGAAAAGAATCTTACATCCTCTAGAAGGTATTAACAAGAGTAGAATCTAAAGTGATAATTACTTTCTTAAGAACTAAGAAAAATCTCTATGGGAAGATTACAATTAAGTCCTGTTACAAGAAGAGTTGATTTGGTTCTAAAAATCTAGATATAAGTGGCTAAAATGGGGGGATCAAAATAATAAATTCTTCCATGCTACATCTATTATTAGAAGGAAAAGGAATCAGATTCTCTCACTCCAAGTTGAAGATGACATGAGTTCGAGACCATGATAATTTGAAAAATATAGTTGTTACTTATTTTGATAATCTCTACAAGGACAATCCTGATGTCAAACCCAAGCTTATTGTGATATATGCCTTGACATTATAAAGACACCACTCGCATATTATTGTGATAACTAAAATTTAATAAAACCCCCTACCAAAGCTACTACAACTCAAGAGTTTAAAAATAATTAGTTTAAAAACATTGAGATCTCAAAAAAACCATTTTAAAATATTGTTTGAGCACAAACCATAGTTAAAAATTGATTAAGAGCAAATACAAGAACATGAAAATCAATTCACATCAAAATAAACTAAAACAAGTCATTTTGCCCTTATCTGATCCATCCACTGCGGTGGATTTAAGCGGTTTAAGTATCCACAAGAAACACTTTAAGCCCTCTAACTAATGGTACTGGTGTCACATTCAAACAATTACCCATTTAAAAGATAGACACCTAAATCTAAAATGGTTCGTTTTCATAACAAAACACACTTTATGGTGTCTATCTCACAATACCAAATGCCATTAATTCCAGAGACACCTTGACCACCTCAAATGGACTACACATCACATAACAATTCAATCATAACACCCAATTGAGTAATCACACTCAAAATGACCACCAAATTCCCAATTGACAATAACACAACGGGGCGAATAAAATTCAGCACATCAATCAATTGATCATTTTGACACTCAAAACACTTGAAATATAAATATCACTTGTAAATATAACTTGGCAAAGCACACGCTTAATCTATAACATCAATCTTGGACCAAGATATACACACTTATCACAAAATTCACACAAGTAATATTCAAATAATGTCATGTTCTTAAGTTGGCAATATTTAGTAATAATATTCATTACAAAATCAAAAAGGAGAAAGGGAAGAGCTATACTACAACGCTCTTTACTCTTCAGATGCTCCTTCCTTTCTCTTGCCTATACCGGAGCCCTCGCCTGTAAAGTATAACCACAGGGTGAGATAAACATCTCAGT